CCTAGGGTGAGCAAAACTGCTTGCGATTTGTCGACTGGCGACTAAAAATTCTCTTCAAAGGTGGCCGTATTTGTATGGGTACAGCGGACGGAGACCCATCGCCAGTAACATCCACTAACTCCATCTTCCGTTTGTTAAATTTGAAAATGATTTATTGCGGCTTAGAAGCATTTCAGTGTTGTGTTTTTCCGGTGTTCCGGGTCCGTCGATATTTGCGCTAAAAACACAATAAGACCCGGTTTATTTGCTCTCTGGCCCCGTGTCCCGGCTCTAATAAGGCCTATTTAAATACACTTCCGCCATGTTTGGCCTGTAAATAGGAACCGGCGCGCCGTTTTCATTTACTAATTTCTAGACCACACAGTTCTGCCGGAATTCTGTTAATTGCTTTTAGAGTTTGGATTGTTTGACTATACAGTTTAGTCCTGGAGGCTTTTTCGACTGTTATTTTAATTGTTCGAAGGGGAGAAAAGCGTGCAACATTTTATGGCGCGCACATAATATTCTAATATATTGTCTTTCGTAATTAACTCGAGAGCGTTGTAAATCATTTCGACCGCAAAAACTACGAGACGTTTTATTGGATTGTTAACTCTTGGCTCATTAAAGTGGAGTTTTTGAACGTTTTATGGCTTCTTGCACCTCGATAATTATCGGGCAAAAGTCGCGAAAATTCAAACTATTTAATAAAGTCGTCCGGATCCAATTAATACGCGAAAAAAGCTGACAAATTCCGGGTCACGAATTTGCATTCATCCTGCTGTGTTTTATGCAACCATAACATAAAACGGCCGTAAATAATTAACGACCTTAATACACTTTTAACCTTAGCCAGACAGAATAGCACTTTTATCTGAAATTGCGGCCCTGCAGAAAAAATTTAACTACATCCAATTAAAATTTGAATACACAATGAATCGAAGATTTTTTTCATCGTTAGATGTCTTTTTAATTAATTTTCCATCGAGGCAAACAGCACTCCATTAAAATTTACACGAAATGAACATGTTCTTTACGGCTCTCCTTATCTACAAATAGTTTCTATCTTTGACTCGATAAATATCCTCGTGAAATAATTAATTAATGCAGACGGAATGACCATCAGTCACCAATTCACTATCGCAGCTTCGATCTTATCAGGACCGGATTTACTCTCTTACCGAATTACATAAAGACAATATTTGGTTTGGTTGAACCTTGTGTGTACTTGGTTTATCAATTGAAAGCTAGCAAATATTGTGAACTTGTTGCGACAAGATTGAACAAACTCCGAGACAAAGTAAACTGCGTGAAGGCGCGTCCGGACTACGCATACCAAATTACTTTGTTAACTATTAACACATTTACATGAATAAACAATATCCTCTGCTCCACTGTGCTTATCTAGACTACTCTTCTAATCCTCCTCCAGAAACTTTATTTATTCCGTCTGCTTGGGCGAGTCCGATTCTGGCTGGTATAGGTGTCACGACGTCGAGATTAATCCCGTAGTATATTGTTGTTGAGTTTTCTATTTTCACAGTCATTAATCTTGCATTCAGTGGAAAACGCACAAATACCTTGCTCTAATTCAGTTTTACTGTTCATTGGATTGCTCCACAGATAATTCTAGTGTGTATTTAATGAATACATTTTTTAAGAAGAAAGTTATTCAAACCAGTCAAATTTTGGACATACAGTTTTCCGTTTATTCCACCAGTAATTTGGAGGGCTTAATTTTTTATTTCGCATATGTTTTTCAACGTGTAATGCATCCCGGAAGAGCAATAACCGTTTACTCTAGCATTGTGCTTTTATGGTTCCTTTTGGATTAATCCCGAGCTCCAGTTTTGATGATATTGCTGGTCTTGTGTAAGAAGACGGCGTTAAATACCGAATGAAACAGATACAGAGTGTGTTAACGATTATGACGCTACATCGCATAAAACACAATTGAGGAGTTATTTAAGTTAGTATTTATAAATAAACATCGTTTTATATTTCTCAAACAAGCGATTAAAGGAGTTTTTATTTCGTCCGGATTTCCCCCTTAGAGTTTAATTTTAAAAATTTGTTTAAGACATCCGATTCCGAGCCCATCTGTTGATAATAAATCCCCAATGAGGTGGCAATCTATTTGTAAAATTGTGCAAAAAAGCTCGAGTTTTATTCATGGTGAAGACCTCGGAATAATTCTTCCATTATTCTTTCAGCCATGAGTTATTTTTTAATGTTTCTCATCACCGCATTTTATTCGTTTTCATTAAAAATGCAATAAAAATGTAAATAAGGTAATAGCGTTTTGCCCAATTCCGTTTTAATCTTAACAATTTGAATATTATGCTGTTTGTTTATATTTCCCGTATCCGACTTTAATTATTGCCATAGTGAAACTCTTCTGAACGTATTTTCATGCATTGTTCTGAGTACTGATTTTATCGGTCAATATAACTCACGACGTTTAATTTCCCATAGTCGGAACCATTAAACCATGGCGAACTGCAAGCTTTTGAAGATTCTTCAAACCTAGAGTATATAAATCATTATTTATCTTAATGGCACCGATTTTAAGAATTTGCGACGCAGCTATTTTGGGACTCCTGTCTGGCTGCAGAAAGATTTAATTTAACTAATGTGGTGTCATGCAAGCCCTCAAATTGAATATTAACTTGTCAGGGCTTGATATCCTGCACCTGGTACATATATAAAGTCAACTTTCATAATGCAAATTCGCGTTGCAGAGAGATGACGTTGCGTTATTATCTCTCGTAGGCATGAGTGCCCCTAAATCAGGACATTGGAGGAAAATTCATTGATTTTTTCAAGCTTTTATTTTACTTTTATCGAGTTATATAACTTTAGTATTGACACCCGAGTAAATCGACCCGATTCCCTTGCCGTGACAAGAATTTATATTTCACGAAAGACAAGGCCGTAACCTTTGTCACAGTCCTTTCAGTACCACTCGTGTCATCAAAAGAGCCCCCATTTTGGCCATCATCACTTCACTACAAATTATTTATACTAGAGTTGGTCGAGTCGTAATTCGCTATTTGTCAATATGTCCCGTAGTTATTAGGGCGGAAAACTCGATTCCTCTACACATTCTGCATCTTATCACCGATAAAACGAGGTATTTTTTCTTCCACGAGCCGCCACTGCCCTCAAGTGATGATAATTAATAACGCAAAGCTTTTACGCTTACATGGCCAGTATATCTACGTCCGTAATTGAAAAGTTCGCCTCGACTTGTGTAAACAAAATTAAATTTGAAGTTATTACAAATTACGGTAATTATTTTCGATGCGTAACACTCCCACGTTTTCCGCCATCCATTGTCGTCCATCATTTTTTATCAACGCTTAATTAAAATGTTCCCATCATTTTTCGAGAAAAAAATTCAACGACAAATTACCGCTCGCTGATAATCTCACCGAAGACGCTTTTTCTTGAAACCTTAGCCGAATCGTCTATTGCTTCGTCTATAATTTATTACCAACACGTTGTCAGTCTCAGATTTCACACATTTTGAACAAACTTTGATAATTTACGATGAAAGCTGCGTTATTCATAGGCTATTTCTTCAAAACCTAAACCGAAGAATTTCCTCAACATGCGAGCCGAGGAAGTATCCGATTTTACAGTTTTTCTCAAATATTTACTGCAGAAACCTTGAACTCTCGATAAGGGGAAGAAATTGTACATTTTATTGCTCAAACTGTTTTATTGCACAACTCTCTTTCAGTCCAAAAACGACGATTTAATCACACTATAACGAGTTGTCACTATTTTATGGCCCAAAAAGGGCAGTAAAAACCGTGGCCCAAACAAACAACAAATAAAACGCTTATAAATAAAAATAATTTAAAATATTCACTTATTATTTTTTGTGTTCACTAAAAGTGGACCGCAACTAATGATTATTAGTTGCAGTTCATATGACCTCACATAGTTTTCTTTTTTGACCAGGATTCGTTTACCTAATTGTGACTAAATTTTAATAATAATAATCATAATAGTTATTTATTGTAAGAGTGTGTTAGATAGCATTTTATCCACACAAGAATGTTTAATTTTCTTAAGTGGATGAAACGCGACTAACACACGACTGCAATATAACGTTTTATCCACAATCACAGGCCCAAATTATTCCAAACTTAATTAAAAATTAAACTGACATATAAACGTCACGCCAAATGTGCTTTTGGTTAAACGTAGTAGGTAAGCTGTTACGCGGTGCGCTGGTTACTAACAGTGGTATAAAGTTACTTTATGCCACTAGTGGATAAAGTGGTACTTTATACGCATCTAAAGTGTGAAATAAAGTCTCTTTATGGAGTGATTGTGGATAAAAATTATTGTTTTAGGTTTGCTCGCGAAGAATTTTTAGAAATACTCTTGGATTTATTTAATCCGCATGTACGGTTCAGAACTGGTTAATATTTAGTTTTTATATATGTATTTTGTACATTAAACATTTATTTAAAAATTGTACTATTCAAATCTGTATTACTATTTTTCGTTATATTTCCATTATTAATACATACGTACTTTATGTTGAATCCAAAATCTTATGGAGGTAGTTACGCCATTGATGTTTACAGTTCCTATTCAAACGTTTCAAGTTTTTTGTGTGTTCCCTCGAATTTCGCCAACTTAACGGTTCCAGACCACAAAAATAAATTAAATTAAATTTGGCGGTGGACCGGATAGTGGCGCCACCCCACATAGTCGATGGAAATCCCCAAGAACGAGCGGGAGTTCAAAATTCCGAAGCTAGTAGATATTTTAAGCAAAAATCTAATAATGTTATAACAAATTGAAAAAGGCGAATAAATACAATGGCCTAAAAAGTAAAAAATAAAAGTCTCATTGTTTTAAAATTACATATATTCACATAGCTGTAACTTACGAAATATAAAGTTCTGAACATATAGCGCTACATACCTCGCCGCAGCAATAGCTGCGCAAAAACCTACAACTATCTGAAAAAAAAAAAAAAAGAAATAAAAATAAACGCGTTAAATCAAATAAAATTTATTCGATATACGTAATGTTAGTATACTTTGGGCAAAAAAATATAAAGTTTTTACATTTCAATAACCATAAATTAACTCCAACCAAAAACATAATAAAAGCTCCTTATTTTTTAGTTTTACGTGTATAATAAAGAGCATTTATTCCAAAAACTGTACAACTGAAGCCTTAAATAAATAAATAAATCTGAGCACTTGCAAAAAAAGTACGTAACTGATTGAGAAACGGCAAACCACTTTCCGTTAAAAATTAAAATGATCGTAATATACCAAGCGAAAAAAAAATGAATCGATGCTCGGTTTCAGACCGATTTCTCAGTCTGTCGTAGATAAATAAATAAGGGGTGGGGTAAGGCATGAATTTTATTTTTAAAGATCGGATTCTCCGTACAAAGCTGTCGAGAACGACATGTAGTCCAGAGCCCCCGGTACGGCTCCTGGACCTTTGAACGGAGGCATACGTTGAATGCAATACTCGGCTTGATCTGGTGGTAGTTCTCGTCTCAATTCATCAGGCAAAATGTACGGCTATAAAACACCAAATTAGATTTGTCACCAAATCGTCACATTTTGACCTACCTTATCGGCGGCCAAAATACGGAAACTGTCGATAACTTGCTCGGCCGTGTCAGTATCTGTACTTTCCCTCGTCATGAAATCTAAGAACGCGTCGAAATGAACATATCCGGTGCTGTTTGGATCGACCACTGCCAAAATCCTCTGGAAATCGATATCTCCTTGCCGATCCTTCCCAATAGAGTACCCCAACGACACCAAACACGACTTGAACTCCTCCGGTGTAAGTCTCCCAGTCCTGTTCTTATCGAAATGATTGAACGACGACCTGAACTCGTTCAACTGCTGCTGAGTGATTCCCTTCGAGTCACGAGTCAAAATCTGGTTCTCTACTTCATTAATGTTGCGGTTGATCGACGTGAGGAGCTGCTCCCAGCCGACACGGAGTGTCTCCATAGTGTATTGCGTGTACCGATTTTCGAAAATCATGCTTTCTTGCACTGCTTGATTAATCTTCTCCAATTCTTCGATATGTGGCTTGTAGGCGTAGACGCCCTGTTCGTACTCCTTGAGACGGTGCAATTGGTCCTCGAGGGTGCCGTGGAGACCCATTCCGATGGCGGTAACAGCGTCGAGTTGGCGCTCGATCCAAGGCCCGACAGCGTTGGCCTTTTCGGCGAATTGACGACGCAACATTTCGTTGTTTTGCTGCTTGCGAAGCTCGCCTTGGAGGGTGGCGTCGCGTTGGGGGACCAGTTGTCGCACTTCGCCCCATTTGCGAGTCAAGTCCTGTTGAAACACAGGTTTAAGACACGGGGGACGTTAGGGGTGGATCAACAACCGACATTTTTACCTCAAGGTCACCACCAATTCCTTCCTTGAGGGCACGAGCAAGCAAAAAAGCGCACGGTTACTCAACGGAATACAACGATGTGTGAGTAGAATACATGTTTTTTCTATTCTGTCTGATTTTAGTGTATTGAAACATCAATAATTTAATAGAAAAAACAGGACAAAGCTAGTCGATTGGATGAAATGGTGATTATGAGACGTCTTAAACCTTCCTAGCCACTTACATGGGCCGTGAGGGTAGTGTAAGGATTCTGTAAACCGCCAGGTACTTGGTGTTGTTTAACGATGGCTTCGACCTCCCTTACAAGCCCCACGATACTTTGGTATTCCTTATCGGCTTCGCCTAGAGTAGCCTACAACCGGAAAAGTCACAAAATCTAGCACAAGCCCATCGAAATATTTACTTTAAAGTGTGAATGAGCGTCGATGAGTCCTTGAATCTCCTCAACCGTATGCACAATGAAAATATCCACCAAATCCTCCCTCGTGCCATCCAACCAATTGTTAAACGGTGCAGCCCTCTTCGCAAACTCCAAATGGAGAATATCAATTTTCTCCAAAATCCTCTCAGCCTCGTCTAGAGCTTGTCGACGGCGTTGTGTCAAAGCACCCAATCTATCCCATTGGTCGCAAATGCGTTGGCAACGGGCATTCACGCTGACGCTATCGTGATATTCTAATGAATTCAATTCTTGAGCGATGGCCGCGATTTGCTCGACTCGGTCTTGATGAGCGGCCAAATCCGATTCAAACGCTTCGTGCTTCTTCTTCAAAGCTTTGAGTTCATTGAGACGACATTGCCTAAAGTCCTGACTTTGGAGCATTTCTTCCTTGCCACGAGTCCATTCCTCGTGAGCGTCGGCCTTGTGTTTGAATTTCTGAGCGAGATGTTCGAGACGTTCGAGACGCATCATTTCGGAGAGAAGCCATTCTTCGAACGCCTTTTCCGCGTTTTCCAGACCTTTCCAAGCATTAGCGATGTCCTGAAAATCATAAATAATCACAATTTTCTTTATAGTAATTAAGAATTGGGGTACATACAGAAACCATTTTGCCTTCTGTGGGCATATAAGCCGGTCGATTAGATAGACGCAGTTTCGTCTGTAGAGTATTGAAGTTGGTTTCGAGTTTGGCTTTCTGTTCCACGCGAGGCGGCTTGTGTTTACGTCTATAAGTACGATATTCTTCCAGTTTTTTTTGGACTCCGGCGAGGGAGTTGTCAGTTTGACGGGAATTCAACCATGGCATCGTGCGACGAATCCATTCCAATAGCTACAAGAATTTTTTACTTTTTGATTTTATGACACATGCATACTTACATCACTCGCCAGACGTTCGTACTCTTCCATCAAACGTTCGTTCTCTTGATTGACTTTCAAGACTTTGCAGATTCTGTTTGCGGCAGTCTCGGCCTAAAAAAACACATTTAAAATCCGTTTTTTTTTTAACTAAGCAAAGGTTAATGAATTATTAACAAAAATCACCTTTTGTGCACCTGAGAAGCAATGGTAGTAAGACGATACGTATGTCATGACCGCCCTTTCGTCCGGCATAGCGGTGTTCTGTAAATCTGCATGCAGACAAGTAAAACACATCAAACACAATATTAGGTAAAAAATAAAAAATAACTAAACAAAATTTGTTATTTTTGGCTCACTTAGTATAGGCGTGAGTGATTTTTTAGTTAAAAAACGGCGGCAAAAAATTGTTACGTTTTTGTTAATTTTTGACACTTTCGTACAATCGATACCTGTTGGGCCCCTTGGAAAGCGTGATAATAACATGACACGTAAGTCATGATGGCACGCTCGTCGGGTTTTGGCGTGTTGATTAAATCTGCAAGGGTTTATTTATTTCTCATTTTTTCGCGAAAATTAAAAAATATTTTGATTGAAATGGCGTAAAATCTGTTTCAAATTGCTGACATAGCAATCTCAAACAGATGTAATGTAGGTTTCTCGTACCATCTGGGTCCAACATCCTGGGAATGTCGAGATACTTCTCGGCTACGTCGAAGGCAGTGTTCAGGTTCTCCAATGGATTATCTTTTGACAGTTTACTGTAATCGATGAGATCTGGTCGATGACGATGGATGAGAGCGCAGAAGGCCAGCCCATCCTTGAACGACAGATGGAAGTTTTGAACGTTGACGTTTTTGTAAGGCGCCGTCTTGCGTTGACACCACAAGAGCAGCCCTTCTTTCGCCGTCATCTCTTCGACGGAGATGTCTTGGATGGCGAATCGAAGAATGATAGTCCAGATCATACCTAGTGTCATTTTGAGATTACCGTCGACAATTTCTTCGGCACCGATCGATACGAGTTTGACGCCTTTGCTGGCGATGAAATCCAGTGCTTTGTTGACGTTGGCAATCTTGTGGAAGCGCATCTTGCCACGATCGGGCTTCGGCAGGGTCTCACCGGAAATCACCTCAAGGAGAAGCATGAGTTTAAGGCCGTTGCGGAAGTCTTCTTCGATGTTTTCGATGGCGGTGCCGGCTTTCCGGAGGTGGCTGTTGCACCATGCTGTGAATGTCTGCCGAAGCAAGAAAAAAATTCATCAGCATATTGAAGTAAAAATAAAGGTAATGTTATATTAACACTTTTCTTTTCTAATGTTATCATATTTAAAAGAATCTTCATTTTACGTTCCCTATTATAACTTTATTTATGTTATTTTTCAGGAATTACGCTTTTCTACGTCATAATTTTATTTCTCTTTATTAATTTTTTTATTTGTATGTTTTTTTTTTTTTTAATAAACACGTACTATTTTCATCTATTTCATTTTTAAAATAATCTTTCTTGATCCTCCAACGCCTTTTATAACATACTTTGAAAAAAATTTACAGTCAAAATGACCTATGATCTTAAAATTAAGTTGTCAACACCGAATTATTGGTGACATGGTGACATCAGATGATGGTAATACTAGCAATTGTTTTTCCCTGGGAATTGTTGGAAAGCACTAAAAGTAGAAAACGGCAAAAGGGAGAGATTGGGTGAAGGGAAAAAACAAAAATTCAGTTAAAACTCTATTTATTAGAACATGTGCACATGTTTTAAAGCACTTAAAAAATAGACTTTAGACATTTCTTAGAAAAATCAAAAAATTCGGGGTAACGATAAAAAAGCTCTTTTGCTTTCTTATACTCTGGTCTCTTATTTGCTTTTACTCTGCGTTAATGCTCTCTCTCTCTCTCTCTCTCTCCCCTATACGTTTATGCGCTCTTTCGTCCTCTTATACAGAGTGCTCTTATACAGAGCTCTACTTTTATTGTAACCTGTAGTTCTGTCATTAGGTGTCACTTATTAATTAATAATAAATTGTTGTTAATTAAACTTCTATTGTTTCAACTACTTTCCAATAATAATTGATAATAATGTATACTTTGGAAGAAAACAAGTTTATAATTGAAGTCTATTTTCGAAGTGGACGCTTAGTAAACGACGATTTTTTAATTTTGAGTTAAAACAAATAGGTACCCCTATTTTCGTAAAACGGCATTTTTTATTTTACATGGAAAATTCACAGCTGGCTAGATGAAAATCATTTATAACCACTTTGTATTATCATGTGCACATGTTTCAATTCGCGATCTTATGCGCCCGCCATCTTTTGACATTTATTTGCGTTGCATTTGAATTTGAATTAGAGAAAATTTGTTGACTTCACCGGGGTCCGAACCCCGAAACCTACCCGAAAGCAGAACCTTATGCCGCCACACCACCACGCCGCCAAACTCCATCCAAGAAGGTTTTATCTATGATAAAAGGGAGGTATATCGGAGAAAAAGTGATACTGCACAAAAATTAAAGCATATGTTCAAACATGTTTCGGGCACTATCTAGTCCCATCTTCAGTGTAAATTGATAGAAGAAAGAAATATATAAATTATTGAAGATGATCAAGAAATTTTGAAAGGTCGGGCCGAAATAAAATGAAATTTATAAAATTAAATTAATTATTAAAAATAATTATTTAATTCATAAAATTTGGAAAAATAATTTTCTACATTTTTTTGCTACAGGCTATTATAAGAGGAAACAAGGAAGCTCTATCCTAAATTGTAACTCTGTTCAATGTTATTTGTCGCTTTTATTGGCAAAATTTTGGTACCTTTACTAAACAATTGTACAAAAACATATACAAGATTATCAGTATCATAAAATAGACATAAAAAAATGTCGAATGTCAAAAAATTAATGTCAAAATTCTTTGACATAAAATTTTTTAAACATTTTTTCCATGTTCCTGGTATCTTATCTTACCTGAAAATTTTCTCTGGGGCGCGAGTTCTAGCGCACCTGTATATGTTTCTATTGTCAATTTAGACTGACGATAAGACAAGTTAGTGCCTAAAACATGTTTCAATATAAGTTTTTTGTGCAAGACGACTTTCTCCCCCGTATACCCCCCCTTTAAGGTTTTATCTGTTTTTTGTTCCAAAACTAGTTCTATGTTACATTTTATGTTATGTTTTCCTTAATTATTCTCTTTTTCTCATTTCTTCCTTTCTTTTGCCAACTCTTCTTTTATTATTATTTAAACAATATTTAATACTTTTCCTCGATTGACTCATGTTTTTTTAAATCTTATTTTGCAAAACATTGCTAATGATTGGTTTTGGTTTTTTTATTATTTAGTTCGTATTCTAATCTTACAATAATTGATTTTTAAAATAAATAAATATATACACTGTGTCAATTTTAAAACTTGCAATCGGCAATTTCTCTCAACTGAAAAAGTTATTAATAATCACTCAAAACCGTTTTGGTGGTTCCTAGGGGGAATTAAAATGACATGATAAGTGACACACCTCCACCCATCCTTGAATATAGTAAAAAAAATGAAGATTTAACGTCTTCGTTTTTGAATAATTGGAAAAATAACTTTACCAAATAGGCTGTTGTATGACATTTTTGAAAAGCGCTTGTTTTGGGCTTTCCAACGATGTATCGCAAGTAGGGTCGTGCCATTTAAATTTTTCAACTTAAGGTGGCTGTGGCTTGGAGGGTGGGTGGAGGAGCGTCACTTACCATGCCATTTTGATTCCCCCTAAAAACTACCGAAACGGTTTTGAGTGATTCTCAATAACTAGAGATATTGGCGATTGCAAGTTTTAAAATTGACACCCTGTATGTACTTATAACCATTTGTAATTAATTCAATTTTTATAATTCATTCAAACAAATAAACTCGTTTCGTTTATTTTATTTATGCATTTTTAGACAAGAAATGTTTTTTATTCCTTCCTCAACATGATCAATGTGCCGCTTTATACTGATTACACATCCAATACGTTCATTCTGTATTATTGGTTGCCTAGCCATCTCTCCCGTCTCATCCCAAAATTCTTCAACCTCTAAATATAAACATGGACATATCAATACTTAAAGATGATAAGATATTTATGCTAAAAATAATAAAATGCTGCACTATTGCATTACATGAACACAAAATTCTTGGAAATGGGTGTATGCTTGCGAGTTTTTTTCCAGCGTGAATGTACTTTTCCAGTAATGGGCTTCCTCACTGTTTAAATAAATAACACGAAACGCCCGTATAAGGAACGGCGATAAAAATCCAAACAGACAAATCATTGACGTTGCACCCACTTCCTTGTCTTTTTGTTTGATTCAATTCAAACATCGCATTCCGATTGAATTAGGACTCTCCTACATAAAAGTTAATAAATTTTAAATTACTCTGGTTGTCGGTCGAGAAAATTTCCGAAATGGGACACAAATTGTCCCGAATTCATACAAAATCGGTTTATTGGCCGGCATATCTGAGTCACAGAGAAATTATGCAAAACGGGCAATGCGCCAAATTATATATAAACTAAAAGCAAGGTCCGTAACGCCACTGTAATAATATCTACGGGGCCCAAGCCTCAAACGGACGACTCGTCAACTCGCAAGTAGGACACTATTAATTGATTGGTTTGCGGTGACAAAAATTGGAAAACACCGTTCCATTGTTTCGAAAATTCCTGTCAAGGTTAGCTTTCCCTGGAAAATCCGTATTAAAAAAATAAACAGACACTAGCTCCACTTTGATCGAAATTTTCTTGATTTTGTTAGAATTTCCGCGTTTTGGTCCCATTCAAGATTGAGAAATGCAACGGTATTTGTAAATATATCGTTCGCTCTATAAATAAATCGGATTTTTTCAGATTGAAACATTCTTGAATTAGAATCAAGAGTCGTTCAGTCTGACGTCCTCATTAGCGATCCCGGCATCGTTTTTCGAAAAATTAATTTCGAAGAGTTTGTCGCCAAGCCAAACAAATTTTTACGTTATCGTTTGTCCTTGCTGATTAGTTATTGTAACGTCGTTATTACCATTTTGTATATTTTGGAAAGATGTCAAGAAAACAGGCGATTGCGTGGGAAGCAATTAAAACTTTGTTTTTTATGAATTACTGGCACTAAATCTGGGTCTTTTATAATTAGAAAAATCCATCATTGTTTGTCTCGAATAAATTATCAAAATGCTTTCACGGAACTACGGGAAAGAGTAATCGTTCCGAATCATTGCTAATCGTTCAACAGCTGACGCTTCTAACACGAATTTCCGAAATATCTCCATTTCCTTGTGGGTCAATAACTCTTAGTCATATAGAGATGTCATTGTTTTTAGTCACACCGCTCATTAAAATTGTTGCTGGTCGAAGTTACTCTCAAGTCGGTACGAAATGCACTTGCAGCAGAACATTAATTAATACACAGTTGAATCACAGTTTATTAGTCAGGACGTGAGCACAGTTTATAAAACGTTATATCAAACAAATGTTGTTTCATGGTGGCTTCCAACGGTACTTCAAACGTCCCCTTATATGGGACAAGTCATTAAGATAAATAACGCACGATCTTCTCGACTCTGCTTCATTTAATAAACCCGCATCAAAAACTGGAGCAATCAAACGCAATTTCCATTATATCACAGACAAAATACCACGTTTTGTTCCCGATTAATTAACGAAGAAAACTACTTGTTTTTGTCTTGTTTTTGTAGAGAACAAAGAATTGTGCGAATTTCCTCTTCAACCTTAACCTTTCTTGCTGAGGTCACGTTCTCACTCGGAATTACATAGGCGTTCCCAAATTCGATCTAAATCTTTTGCATCCTTGAAATGCATCATTTCCGCCTTCATTTTGTCTTTAAATACAAACACAAAAAGAGCGAAAAACATTAAATTTATTAAAACAAATAGGAAATGTCAAGTAGTAGGCAAGAATAGTGAAAAATTTATGTCAATGATGATTGTTGAAAAAAATACACAAAAAAATTTTATTTTGCAAGACAATGCTCGAAAAATCCTTATGACAGATGAATAGAAAATTTGGAACCCAACGTTTTTTCCTTAAACTATTTATTTTTTGTTGTTTATTCAATTTTTATCGAAAAAAATTTCATATGATTTTAAAAAGAGATCGTACAATAAAAAAAAATTAAAAAAATTGTTCTCAAAACACGACTACATTTTTTATAGCATTATAATTTTTATTAATTATTACTTTCTGAAGGCAAATGACTCCGAACTTTCTGTTTACCTGCTATCTTGCACAAAAAATTAATGAAAAAATAAAAAACTAGGTTTCCTGGATGCCATTTTGACTTTTTTTAATCTTTAACCTCAGTCAACCTAAAATGACAAAATTGTGCTAGCCTTAAAATATAAAAAACTAAAATAAACTCGACGTCTACAGCAATCACTGACAGTTTTACCCTTTAAATCTCTAAAATGTATTGCAGAATTAGGTCAAAATAACTCAAACTCAACCAAATTCAATTTTGAAAAATCAGTTTTATTACAAAAACTCTCTTTTCCATTCGCTAACAATAATAGAAATAGTCGTATAACACGAGGAAATCTTGTAAATTAGTCAAGTTTCACTTCTTATGTTATGTCAGGATAGTTTTGTTTCAAAATAAAGTTTCCAGGGACTCTAGTTTACAGACTGTTACTGGAAACTGTAAAACTACAGTAACATTTATTTAGCAATATATCTCGGTTTATTTTTGAATTGTTGATTATTTGTACAGTTAAATTCTTCAATTATTGGCCTGTTATGCATTCTACTTTCCCTACAAGGCCGCCGTATCAGTAACATTGTTTAAATAATTTGCAAAGAATGACATTTACACATCGCCAGCCAGCAAAACAAAACAACTCTAGTGCACTGATCAAATGAAAAAAAAAAAATTGACGAGGTCAACTGAATAAATCCGGTGACAATAAAAGAGTTTTTGATTATAATTTATTTCGAGGCGTATACACAAAATGTGAACTTTCTAATTCTTGTTATGGCTTTCTATAATCACCAAGGTTATATTATGTAACTTGTTACAATTCTATTCTTTGCAACGGAATAGTGTTATTTTGTTGCAGATTATGTTTATCTAGTAAAAGTGTTTTTTATCTCAATTGCAGTATTTTACTTATTTATTTTTTGATAATTGGATTCAGACCTACTTTCGCTAAGACCATTACTGCTAACAGGATTTGAGTCTTGCATGTCTTCGGAATCAGAAAAACGGGAGAAGTTTTTGATAATTCCTGTCACACTTTCTAATTGTCTCTTGTTTACGAGTCTCATTCGACACAGTTTTGATCTAAAATTATTTCAGAGAGTGACAAAAAGAGCTGAATCTCAATCATCCCCTGCTGAGCCATCATGTGTTAGAGCATTATTTAGTCTTTAGTATCTCATAAAACACATGTTGTTGTAATTTTTTCTTGTGGAATCGTAATAAAATTAGTTTAGATGAAGAAGCACGTGGGTGTGGGTTTTAAAATAGCGTCTAGCTGATGACGCCGACGCCGAAGGCGTCGTCGCCGTCGTCTTCAGCTACTCGCTTTAAATTTCAACAATGGATAAAAATTCGATGAATCGTCGAAGCATTGCGAAGCGGTTTCCTATTACAGGAAATAGAGCACTCTGAGGTGTTTATCGTGAGGTTCGGGGGTAGAATGACCGAAACCATTTTTGGTAGCGGCGTCGGGAAATCCGACGCCTAATCTCCTCTCTCGCTCCCACCCACTCGGGCGTCGTCAGCGTCCCTTTGCGCAGCTGCCCGGTGTGAAAAATGGCAAAAATTCGAAAATGGCACCGATAGGCCGTGGACGCCGTTACATCACGCGCCGAAAATAGCCCCGAGATAGGGTTACGGTCGGTCAGGGGTTGGGGTTACCTTTTTCTGCTGTTTTTCCCAAGCCGGGTCCAGGAGACCCTCGCGTTCCCATTCCTCTTCTTGCTCCATGTAACCGTCAGAGAACTGGTCGACGTTGTTGTAGCCGTCAGTGCTGATCATTTTCGTGAAAATGCCCACTTTTTCAGCAACTGAATTCTTGAGTTCGTTTAAATGTTCGGTCGGCAGATGGAATTCAGTCGTGCAAAAGCACACGACCTAACACGCACTTTACCCCACTAGCCCGTGCCCGACTGCTTCTGCTTGCCAGTTGCTCGTCGGGCCGTTGGCGCAAACTCCACACCAACTTCTAGTAGGAGGTTATCGCAAAGAAGCGGACCAAACGTAAACATACAGACGATTTTAAATTTACCGCCAAAATTTCACTGGCATTTTTCAAAAAAGTGACGTTTGTCACAGCAAGATGACGTTTCAAAAATTACCCAATTAAATTTGTCCATACAGAAATATTTGAGATCATGAGATAATTTGATACAACAATTTGATAAGATAAAAGACATCCATAAATGAGATGACATTTTTTATCCCATATAATTATGTGCCTTAGGAAACTTTATGCGTCATGATGATTTTAAATTTACCGTCAAAATTTCTAGATAACATTTTTCAAAAAAGTAACGTTTGTCATAGAAATATGACGTTTCAAAAATTACAAAAGTAAATTTCCCCAAATTGAAATACTTGAAAATTTGCACTTGAGATAATTTGCTACTGAAATTTGATATGATAAAACATGAGATAAAACTTCAAACTCTATAAATTTTACTATTAGTAAGAGCCTTTCAAAAGCAAATATTTCAAAGATTTTGCTGTTTTTAAAGGTATATTTAAAAAATAACATTTTCAAAGACTTTTCCGTGTTAAATGTTTACAGATATACACGTTATCTAACTTAAAAACAACGTGATAATGTCTAGGTACAGTTAGGGACACGGAATTTCGAACAGAACTGTCAATCTACTGACATGGGCTTTACTTTTATTAATCTCACTTTAATAGCAATGATCACAGAGGAATCGACACAAAAAAACTAAGATGCCCTGCAAGGGGCTGAACAAAAAACCAAAATGCACTCCTTGTGTCCTTGCTCGTCTCCCAACAGAAAAAGTTGTGATTATGTATGTACAATTGCAGACACGGATTTTTGGCCATCAAATGTATGTCAGTTCAAAAAATGTCAGTAAGCGAAGCTTTATTGTCATTATGATGGACGTTTGAAACTAAAATTTGAACGTTTTAGTTGAAATTTATTTTTGCGCTTGATTTTTCGAAACAATATTTCCAGAAATACTTGTTTTTATATAAGTTCAATAAATTATTTTCTTGTCTTTTTTCTCTAGCTGTTAGGATAAAAATTACAAAAACTGAAAGTGAAGTTAGTTGCATAAGGCCCGTTTTACATTTTTATGTCAGTCGAATGTCCAATGGCGAGCAATAAAATTTGGTAGGTAATGTCATTTTGAACTTCATATTTTTGTCAAAAAAATAGTTTCCCTGAGTAATATTGACAAGAGAGTATATTAGGGAATGACATTGACTACTAAAATTTAATGCTCGCCATTGTACAGTTGCGGAATAAAAATATCGGGCAGTATTGTCATTTTCATCATGTAAACTCTAAAACAACCTTTACATAACCTCATTTTATACTCTTGTCATGTTTATGTCATTTTGACTTATTTATTTTCAAAAATAGTGATTTGTGGCATAATAACGGGCAGGCAGCAGATCAAAGAGCTGATTTAATTACACTTAGTTCATTTAATAAATTTCCTAAGACAGACAAATTGTTTAATTAACAATATTAACAACAAGAAAAAGTTTAATTGTCAAATGTCACTCATGATGATAGTAAAAAGTAGTAGGTAGTAGAACTTTTTAAAGTGACAGAGAAATACTGCCCGAAATTTTAATTCCGCAACTGTACCTATTCTTAAAAAACTCCATGCGTCTTGTATAACCTTTGCCCCATCACATATTTATTTAATTTAATAAGTAAATAAGACATTAATTGCAGTTGCGGATTGTGGATTTTTGCATTAAAATAGCAATAAAATTTGTTGTTGTTACAGGAGTTGTGTTTTATCGTCTTTGCTCTTTGAATTTATTAAGATTAATACACTTTCATTTATTTAATTGAAATTATGATAAATTCTCGTAATTTATTTTGTGATTAAAAACAACAAAATATGATCTTGTTGTTTTTGATGGAAGCGTTGAAACCATTAATCAACCAAAAAATTGCTCAGAAAAAATATAAAATTTAAAATAGTTAAAAGTGTCAAATTTTGATTCAAAGATTATTGTGTTTTCATATTTTTGGCTCTCAAGTTCCTGCAAGCGGAGGAAAATGCAGAGAATCGCTTCTAGTTAGTTATCTCTGTTATTTTATAACTTAAAAAAACTCAAATAAATCAAAATTTTTTTTTTTCAATATTACTTAACAAATTGTCAATTATGGAAAGCATATCATGCGGAATCCTACTTAGGCAATAAGTAATATTACAATTTTACAATAAATTACAAAGATAAAGAAAGTTTTTTTTGTAAAATTTACAGTGTTGTCAACTGCGTTTTACGTTTTACCAAAATTCTTAAATTTTTTATTGTTACAGAAACTTCAAAATGTTTTTATTCAAAAACAATGACAAAAAATAATACAACTTTCAAAAAAAACGTTATTAATATTTTTTAATTAAACAGAGAAAAAATACATTCAGAAAGTAGCAAATAAGAAATGTTTAATATCTAATTCATTGCTAACAGTACTGCCATAACATTCTTCGGTTTATACCAATCTCTTTTAAATTATTAAATCAGTTTATTAATTCTCAAAAAAATCAAAATCCGCTAGAACTAGTAAAAAATCTTCCAGGTTCCCAAAACTGAGAATTTCTAAAAATCCAACTGTTTTTTAAAAAAGACCGGGACATAAATGTCAATAATTATACGTCATATGTCAACGTCTTAACCTCAAACATTCGAACTTTTTCTGTTTTCATAAGTATTTGTGCCTGAACATAATCAGAAATGGAAATCACTCAAACCGAACTAGATTTAAGCAAAATTTGCCATGCGTGTCTTTCTTTCAACACAAAAGTTAAACAATTTACAGAATCGGATCCGGATCTCGCCCACATTTTGCAGATTTTCAAGGAATGCACTTCTTTGGAGGTTAGTTGAGACTCTTCTGATTTGTGTTTTAAACAAGCAACCCTTTTAGTTGGATGAGGATGTAAATGTACCTTTATCTTTTTGCAAAACGTGTATATTCAAAGTTGAAGAGTTTTTTTCGTTTAGAGAAATGTGTCTTAAGTCGCATGATACAATTCAGACTATTGTAAACCAACCTGAGAACATAATTGTTTGTGAAGAGAAAGATGAAATGCATGTAATAAAGTTGGAAGAAATAAGCGAAGATACAGAAGTCGTCAAAAATGAAGAAAGCACGGAGATAGAGGAGAAGGAAGATTTAGATTCGAATTGTTATGAGGAAAAAGAAGAAGAATGCCATTACAAGTGTGTTATTTGTCGAGAAGACTTCAATGACAGAGAATCATTCAACAAACATAACAACGTTGTTCACTGCACAAATGACTACAAATGTTCACTTTGTTCTGAAGGTTTTACCAATCCTTTCCTTTTGACAGTAAGTTCTTAAACTGTTAAAAAAATCCTTAAAGTATGATTCCAGGAACATTTGAAAATCCACAAAAACGCGTCTGGAATTGTCGGCAAGTTTTTCGGTTGCGGCAGATGCGACAAAACGTATAACACCCTACAAAACCTGCAAGTTCACGTGTATTCGCACCTCGGCCTTCGCCCCTACAAATGCCAATTCTGCCCTAAAAGTTTCACAAAACACACAGCTCTGAAAACCCACGTAGGCATCCATTCAGGCCTCCGGAAATACACATGTACTGATTGTGGCAAAGGTTACGGTTACAGGCGGGAACTGCGGCGCCACCAAATGGTCCACACGGGGCTCCGCCCTTTCAAATGCGAACAGTGCCCCACTACGTTCACTTTTGCGCGAGATTTAACGATTCATATGAGGATCCATACGGGGGAAAAACCCTATTTGTGTCCCACGTGTGGCAAGGCCTTCAGGCGCATTTACCATCTCACTGTGCACAAAAGAATACACACTGGGGAAAAACCCTACAAGTGCAGTTTTTGCGACAAGTCGTTTGCCCAGAAGGGCGATTGGAAAGCTCACGAAAGACTCCATACAGGGGTGAAGCCCTATGTGTGCCAAGTGTGTGGGAAGAGTTTCAACCAATCAAGTGCTTTGACTACTCATATGAAAACACACGTGTACAAGCAGTGGACCTGCGAGGTTTGCAGTAGGACTTTCCTCAGACAGGGAAGTTATAACAAGCATATGAGCACACATAAGGGGGCCCACACGACTAATTAATTGTATTTCTGTGAAACGAACTTGATATTTTTGTGACTGTAAAAATCGGTTAAATACAGTTTCGGTTTGTAATCAGTTTTGACTTTGTATCGGGAAAAAATAGCTTCAAATATCTGATAAAAAAGTTCGATTACGCTCAGTATTGAGCCTCCCAAACATAGACCGATGAGGCCGCCAACTGATGCTGAAATTCCTCGTTACTTAAACTGTGACTAAAACTAGGTTTTTACCAAGAATTAGTTCCCAAGTTATGAAAACACTTTTTTGCAGTTTCGTGCAAGATACTTTTTCGAAATAAACTTGTAAAACGCTTTCGTTCGATTTTGTTTCACTTTCAGAACTGTAAAAAGTTTTTTAACTTTGGCGACTTCGACAACAAATATTTACGTTTTTAACAGTTCTTGATCTAATCGATAAGAATACGAAATTTCGTTGCACTGTGGGTAACAATTACATTCCAATGCATTGTCTGAAAAAAAAAACAAATTTGAGAAGCTTTCAGGTAATAATTAAGAATTTACGATTTTGTAATTCAATTTTTGAGTTTTTGTATCTGATATGATTTGTTTTAACGCAGGTGGTGTCGAGAAGTGTACAGTATTTATGTTTTCCTACAAAAAAAAACACAAAGTGACAAAAAGGAGATATTTAATTTTTTACCATAGATCGGGTAGTAATAGTACGGTATGCAGCCACACAATTTTGTTAACGCTCTTGCTTTACATTCATTTATACAAGTTCCATAACTGTAATTGTACGACCAGTCCAGTTTTATCTAAACACCAAAATTAAACAAGTGCAAAAAACAGTTTCAATTACTTCATCGGCAAATGCACATCCTCGAGTTGTTATGTCGATTTCTTTAACATTTTCGTCGCTTTGTATTATTTCTGGTATAATAGCTAACGAAACGTCACTTCCAGCCCGTAGCGTTGTACTGTAAATAGACAAATCAGGATATTTTATATTTTCATGAACTGCAACGTCTATTCCGTAAGTGTTTGTTATAGATGACAAATACTTATTTTCCTCCGCGTTGAGGCGTACGGAAAGGCCAAAAGAGGGCCCGACTCCATTTGTGTAAATTTCCCTAAACTGTCTAAAATTTGATAAATAATTTTCGTTTCATCCACATTAAATGTTATAACTGGTTTGTTTTGATTCCTTTGTAGTTGAAAGAACAGCAAAAACCGCTTGTTGTTTTCACGAGAGTGAAAATTTCGCTACAATTGCTCTGTTTCGCATTCCAGAAACAGTCCGAAATCATTTGAGCACAAGGTTGTGCCAACTGGAAATGCCAATTGAATTTTTTTTTTTACCCGAATTAATTAATACCTGCGCCATCAATACATCAGTGGTGTACCCCATACGTTGCAAAATCGCGATGATTTTTTTATGTTTGTGCCACTTTATGTCCCCTTTGAGTTTAGCTGAAGCCACCATTACTGACAAATCCGCAAAAAAGTTATCGATTTCGAGTGGTGAAACTCTGTTGTTTAGTCTAAAAAAAATCTAAGGTTTTTGAAACATTTGGAGAGTCACTTACAACTCCTTGATTTCGATAGTAGCATCTTTGTAAACTACGTTAAAGTTACAGATTGTTACAGCGGGAAAAGGGACTTCCCATACGGGGAAAGCAGTAGTTGCAATTGTTGTTGTAATCCGATTTGAATAATAAGACATGAATTGTGATCGAATCAACATGAAACACAGACAAGTACTTATAGTGCAAACCAAAGCCCAGAAATACGACTTGAATTTTGATGATTTCTGGTCAGTTATGTAGTGAAAGCCGTGAAGAGAGCTCTCTTGAAAATAATTTTTTGTACAGGTCTGTACCCGATTTATTATTATTTTATCTAAAATAAATCTTTAAAGAGTACAAACTTGCATCATAACTTACGTCGCCGTTTCATTTTTACTTTACAGGGAAACACGACAAGCTGGGGTTTTATACCCGTAATGTACATTAATATTGTTAGTTTTATTGAGTTTTAGTTTAATTACAGTTTCATTAAAATCTAATCAGTGTTCATACTTTCTTCATTATTTTCAGCGACTAATTCTTCTAATGGTCGGTCTCCAAACTTGTGTTTTACTGAAAAACAAATTTTAGTAACTTATTAATTACTAAAAATGGGCGACATACCGACATCGATGTTCCTCAAATCATGCACTAAAAAATTATTAGATTTATTATCTCCTCCTGCTGCTATAACAAACGGCAAGTCGGGCGATAAATCCAAACATTGTATTGTGCCTAAATTAAAATCTTTTTCATACACAAAAGTCGCTTCGTTTTCGGTATAGTCCCAAACTTTGATCGCCCCATCTGGCGACGAAGTGACTAATAAACCGGGACATTGCGCACTTGCAACCAGTCCAGTGACTTCCTTTTCATGGGCTTCGACAGTCCACACTTGACCTTTTCTACAGTCAAAATATTGCAAATTCCCGGTATCGCTACCGGCGAAAAACGAAAACGGTTGAAGTGGATTCCACACCAGAGTTTCAACTTCTCCATTTATTTTCCACGTTTGGTGTGTCTCAGGGTTGCGACAATCGAAAACTTTGGCTTTCTTATCGCTAGACCCCGCTAGTAGAGTTTGCGCTTCTAGTTTATGCCACTGCATACATTGGACTTTGTCTTTAAATGCGCAAATCGTGGTACTTGGAGTTTTCTTCTCCAAGTCCCACAAAAGTATAGTTTTATCGACAGACCCGCTAGCTAAGACATGTTCGTAAGTTTTGTTCCAGGCCAAAGTCAAAACTGCGTCTTTATGGCCGATGTGTGGTCGGTTTTTTTTAATACTGGCGGCTCGTCCTAGATTAAACGCGGGTTCAATACAGTTGATTATATCCAAATCCCAGACTTGGATAACTGGAGTCATGGAACCTATAGCACAGTAACTTCCTTTAGGGGCGTTGGGTTCGTAGTCTAGCCATTCAAAACAAAGCGGGAATGCGGGAAGTAGAATATCGTGGTGGACGTAGAGTGACTCTTCCTCCTCATTATAAACTTTGAAAAATTATTTTTGCATCCCTTTCAATCCAATTTGTACTTACTGTACACTTCTAGCGAACTTGCGTCGCCTTCGACATGTCCTACTAAAATTAAATTATCATTCGGTTTGATAATTTCATCTTCTTTGTCTGAATCATCTGATTCAGAGAAGTTGTCTTCCTCGTTATTTTGTAAATCGGCCAATGAACTTATCCCCAAAGCCTCAGCGGCACCTTCTAACAAAATAAACAACAGTCTTTGAATCTCCTAAAATAGCGTAAACTACCGTCTTGTTCGTCATAATTTTCCAAATTGAACTCGTCTTGAGTGGAAGATTCTCCTTGAGTATTCTCCTCATTTGTGACCCTATGTTCCAAAACTGATTAATGTCAATTAGCAAAAAATTTGATTACGTACCGAAGCTTCTTTTTTGTGGCTTTTATCACTTGTACGAGCTCGGCTTTGGATAACTGGACCTGAAAACCCAGTGATGAGCGGGGTAACAAAATTTTTGTTGATTACCTTTTCGGGTTGGCTTTTTGCCACGCCTTTCTTCACCCACTTGACGCAAGTTATGAAATTGACACGATTTTCAGCGTCGGTTTCTTCCATTTAGCCAAAACTTTAATAAAACGGGCTAAATGTCAAAGACACGTGTCTGCTGGTGTATATGAGGTTATGAAAAGATAACCAAAAAATTTGTATGTCTGCTAATTTTATGAAATTTAAATTAACGTAAATACAATTAATGCGAAAAAAATTATTGTTTGTTTTATGTACCGTTGTTTGAACAAGAGGGCCAGCTATTTGAATTTAGTCATCAATGTTATTATATTGTTTTTTGTAGTTATAAAAACATAACCTCAATTAATTGTGACACTTGTCAAACAAACGATAAAAAATAATAAGAGTTTTTTAAGAAAATGAGTGGAAAACCGAGTGTGGTTATTGTTAGTAGCAGTAGCACAAAGCCAAAGTCATTAATTAAGCTAATAACGAAATGTGCGGATATCCAAGAAGACCCCCTTGACTCGAACAGGATCACTCACACTTGGACAATTGATACCAAATATTATTCAGCAGAAGTTGATGTAATTGGGATAACTGAACAGTACGAGCGATCTCAGACGTTCAATGATAACGTCGAGGCTCTAGTAATCCACATAGACACAAACAAAGAGAGTGGTTTGAAGGATTTAGATACCTGGACTAGTTTACAAGAAGAATGCGACCCTGAGATCAAACTCCTAATCGCAAATTATTGTACCAGCGAAACGAAAACCACCAAAGCTGCGGCTACAGAATGGTGTTTAAAACACGGTTTTGAATTAATAGAACTGTATCCTGGGTCGCAAATTTGCGATCAGGACATAATCGAGGAGAAAATTGGTGTTGAAAGGGTCATTGAAGCCCTCCAGACCCACACTTGGACCAATCTGAATATGAAAAACCAGGAAAATGACGTGAATAAGAAAAACGACAGTGTAGTTGAATTATGTGAGGAGTTTCTCACAAGTGAAGCAGTCGATGATTTTAGCGATTTGTTTGCGCAATTAAATATGATGAAGGAGAGTTTGCAGTCTTTGCCAATGAATCAGAGGAAGCAGTGTGCCGAGCAGGTGGTCACGGCGTTTTGGCGCGCTATTGGGGGAGATGAAGAAGAAATTGCAGATGTCTAAAATTTTCACTGCATTTAATTACGATAAAATAATAATTATAAATTAAAATGTTATGCAATGATTATTTATTAATAAATAAGTTTAGATAGTAATAATAACTTTACATAATTTTGGGGTTATTATATTAATTCTAAATGTCAAAATGTAAGAGGGTATTAAAGCATTTGAAACTGTTTTTTTTGTCCCCCTATCAGCTGTCTCCCCAAACAAACACCACCTGTTGAATCAGCTGATAGAGGCCACCACTTGGGTAGTGGGGAGGAGCCGTTGAGTCCGCGTGTCCAAAAAATAGAGGGAAATTAGCGCGCCCGGGAAACGATGGTCCTGTGAGGTTAGCTCGGGACTCGGGCGTTTTTCCTGAAAAATCTCTAAAATAGTCGTTTTTCTGCCTCAAAAATGGCCGAAGAAGACGAAAGGGTTGAACCCCGCCGTTCAGCCCGACTGGCTTTAACCGAAATCCACCTTAACGAAGCCAGCCACGAAACGCCTAACAAAAATGCCAGTGCTGACGAAATGGTGATTATTCAAAGAGGCCCCAGGAGGAAACCTATTATTTGGTCGCCGGTGGATCAAGACAGAACTCCTGCGAGGAAAATTGCCAAGGAAGTATCCGTGGAGACGTTGCCAAAACGCCCTAGTTTGAACCCGAAACTGCGAAGACGTCTTATTATGAGCCCAACGAAGAACTCAGGGGAGTTGGGACTCGCCATCGCTAAGAAACTGAGAACCTTGCCGGCCTTCTCACAAGAGTTGAAACAGGGAACATCACAAATTTAGTTTAGGTGTGTTTTATCATTAGTTGTAACAGTTTTCTTATTCATGTGCCTTATCTTGAAGTATTTTTTTAACAAAATAAAGACGTTTGATTTGTACAATATTTTTTATTTACTACTAACATAAAAATTGCACAAATAGTTTATTATTTAATGGGTACCACAGACTTTTTCTTACAATACTTTCTCGAGTTTTTTGCGATTCAGTTCAAGACTAGAAGAATAGTTTCAATGAAAAACCAAAAATCCGTCAACTTTTTTTTTAAGAGTAAAGCGACAAGCCATGAAACAAGCTTAAAAAACTAATGATACATAATAAAATAATTACTGCGTGTAGTAGACTCTGTAATAGAGAGTTTTCGACCTCCATAACGAATACGAATTATCAAATTTAAGTAAATATACTCCTTGTCCTGGATACTGATGAGACCCTGCGTAGACCTCACTCTGGCAATCCCTCCTATAAACTGGCACAATTTCGGTTAGAAGTGGTTTAGAGATGCCATTGACTGCAACAGAACCGGCTTCCAAGTCCCCCGTTTGTATAGTTTCCTCATCATAAATTTCTTCATCTAAATCTTCCAAATCTTCGTCATCGCTTTCAGACACGTGGACTGAAACTTGATCACTTGTGGGAGTCCCAAATTCGAAATAAACCCCAAAACCAATATCATAATGATCGGTGGCAAATTCCCAGAAGAGTCGTGTCCCTTCTGGATGTGTGGGTACTCTAACAGTAACAGTCTCGCCATGCCCGACCCTCACAACCCCATCGCCTTCGGCCTGAGCAACGGCTTGCTTGAATTCGTCGATTCCGGAACGCGTCCACATACTCGCCGGGATTAAACTATTTGAGGAAGATTCATTTAAACTTATTTCTTCATTAGATTGATTGTTCTGTAATAGTATTTTGTGAGAGAATATGAATATTGGCAAGTAAAAGGGGAATTACCCAGTCTGGATCAGTCTTTTCTTCATCAACGCTTTTTGTTTGCTCTCCTCTTTGTGCAGCTTGCAGTTGTTGCATGTATTGGATGTAGTGTTGGTCCTGTAATTGTCTAATAAGTGCGCCTTGTTTTTCCGGGTCACCGGGAAATTGTTGCTCGGCATATTTCCTAAATTGGTCAAAAGTTTGCTCATTCAGAGCTTGCTGTATTTGCCTTTTGATTGCTTCTTCTTTAGTCAACTGTTCCTGGATTAGTTTTGCTTCTTCTTCCTTCTTTTGCTTTTCCTCTTCTTCAATCAGTCTACGTTTCTCTTCCTCTTTCCTAAAATCGAGTTTTAATAAAAGTTAAGAGCTTAGTTATGAGTTTACGCTTTTCTCTCTTGCTCCTTCTTTTCCCTTCTATGGGCCTCAACATAAGCGGAGAACAGAGGGCAACGCCGACTTAATAATTCAACAAAACCAGCTCGTGCTTGATCTGCTGATAATTTCCCTAGTTTTTGCCACGCTAATCTCCTATCTTTTCCTACAACATCTAACGTTCCTAATGGGGGTAATTTATTTATGGCTTCTGATAATGGACCATGGAGGACTTGTTGGGAGAACGCGACGAGTTGTAATTTATCCTCATAACTGAAATGAACTGCCTTGCCTTCCTTTTCTGGAAGAAATTTAACATAAAAAAAGGAAAATAATAATAACCTTCACGATTTCAAAAACCTTTGTAAAAACTGAAGGCAAGCTTGTATACTTCGATTAATGGTAGGCCATATTCTAGTGAATCATTCGATGCGTTATTTACCGAATTTTTCCGTTTTGAGGTTTTTACATCTAATTTTGAGAAATTTTCCAAAAGTTGTGAGCTGTCACACTCTGCAGCCATGTTAATTTTTTGGGGATTTTTTGCTTTTTTTGGTGATGTCACCATTTTTTGACAATTACATAACCTCAAAAAACTACGTTTCTAAATGGTAATTGGTAATTTTTTGTTGAATTTAAACAAATAATCGTTTTTGCAGGGTAAGCACAAGGAGAAATCGAAGAAACATAAGAAAGATAAAAAACGAAAGCGAGCGCGGGATTCTAGCTCAAGCCCATCTTCAGATGAATGGGTTGAAAAAGACGATTATTCTTCTGAGGAAGATCGTAAACCTGAAGAATCCTCAACTTCGTCTAAAAGAGCAGAGTGGATGTCGTTGCCTTCAAGTTTTTTAACAGAGTCGCATTTAGACAAGAGACGAAATAGGGAAGAAAACAAAAGGTTGGAAAGGGAACGTGAGCAATACAATCCAAGACTACACGAAAGAGAATTAAATCCGTATTGGAAAGACGGTGGTGACGGTTTACCGAAATTTAAAAAGCCTTCGGAAGAGAAAAATTTCTCATATAAGTCAACCAACAGACCACAATCGTCTTCAAATTGGAAGAAGAAACCATTAGACCCTCCAAAAGAACGTGAAAGCAAACCGGAACCTCAAAATCACGTCGAAATTTTGTCAGATAAAGAGCTGAACGCTTTGGCGGCTAAACTAGTCAAAGCTGAAATAATGGGCAAAATGGAATTAGTAAACGAATTGAAAGCGAAACTTGAAGCTGCAAGACAACGCAAAGATTCCACAGGACACACTGAAGAGGTTCTCTTGACGCAAACTGATTCTCAAGGACACACAAGGCCAGTGAGACACCAAGCTGATTATAATGAACCATCAGGCAGTCATAAGAGGAAGCGCAAAGTTGAAACTCATCAAGAGGGACAAAGAGTACGTTATTTCACCGACGATGATAAGTACTCGCTTCAGCAGATGTTTGAAAACGAGAAATTTAATTCAGTGGAAGACCAGAATAGTGAGTTTATGAGAATGGCGAGTAAAGTGCGGAAAAATGACGATTTGGATGAAATATTTTCCGATAATATTAGGAAAAAGGATGGGAGCAAAACTGACAAGAGGAATCGTGATAGGGCTATTAATGAGCATCAGCGAGTCGTTCAAAGCATAGATAAGTGTAAATTGTGTCTCCAGTCGGATTCAATGGCAAAACATTTGATGGTGTCGTTAGGCGAGACGGCTTTCTTGAGTTTGCCCCCTTACGAACCCATGAATAAGGGCCATTGCTTGATAGTTCCCATCAGACACGTCACATGTTCCACGTTACTTGACGAAAACGAGTGGAGTGATATTATGGATATTAGAAAAGCTTTAACGCAGATGTTTAACGCGAGAAATGAGGACGTTATATTTTTCGAGACGGCGAAAAACTTGGATAAATATCCGCATATGTACATTGAGTGTATTCCCTTGGAAAAGGAAGAGGGTGATATGGCTCCTATCTATTTTAAAAAAGCCATAGATGAGTGCGAGGCCGAATGGGCTCAAAATAAAAAGCTTGTCTCGCTGAAAGGTAAAGATGTGCGCAGGGCGGTTCCTAAAGGCCTTCCGTATTTCTTCGTTTCATTTGGAATGGAAGAAGGTTTCGCCCACGTTATCGAAGATCAGAAGAGTTTTCCTAACAATTTTGCACAAGAAGTGATTGGCGGAATGCTCGACCTGCATCACAGCAAGTGGCGAAAACCTAAATACCAATCTTTTGACGAACAAAGCAAACGCGTAGTGGAATTTTCAAAGGAATGGAGCGACTTTGATTTTACAAAAAAATAGTGACTTAAAATCTAATTGATAATTAAAAAATACCAAAAATTATACAATCATTTCTAATTCCTTGGCGTATTCAACCGCTTGTTCAGCTAATTCGCACGACGGGATAGGCTCAGTGATTCTCTTGACTTCAGGTGCGAAATGGAAGAAATTGTCGCGACCCAATTTCCATTTCTTATTCTGCAAAAACTATAATTAAGAGAAAAATAAAAAACAAACTTTGGCTTACTTTGCCAAATGTTTTCGCGGCTTCTTCGTTTGGCAAATATAACATTCTTGCAGCATCCTTGAGTGAGATTTTTTCGTATGCCTTTTCTACACAAACTGCGATTTCGCCGCGAATTGTGTCAAGTAGAATATCCATGAAGAAGTTGTAATTTTTTGCCGGCACGTTACCTTTAGCTAAAAATATCTACAATTCATTCATTAACACAATACTCAATGATGAATAAACAAGTAACCTTGTTGTAACTGCCCTCCATTAAGTACTGTTCAATTGACAAAGGATGTCTTATGTAAACATCATTCTGAATGTGTTCAGCAGGCAACAGTTCAAGCTCCGTGTGAAACTCCGCGACACGATTTTGTGACAACAAAAACAGCAAATTCAAGCCCAATAATTGATATTTAAAGGAAGATTCGGGGAGTTGATCCTTATAATCAAAGTAGTAGCACTTTAACTGTGCCATATATCTCTCAAAAGCGGGAATATTACTCGACGCTATGCTCCATTGTACCCCAATTTCTAAAACGTCCCTTGCTAATAACAACTCCTGCTTTGACGCTGACGCATTCGAAGTCGGCAAAAACATCAAATGTGTTAATTCAAGCTACAAAGAAAAATTACAAATCATCACACTAACCTCAAAATGACTTACCTTTAATTCCGACAATAACTGCTCAACTTTTGCCAAATTTGGCTTTGAGTTGCTCCATTCTGACTTGAGTTGTTTGTAAAGAGTTGTAACGTCGTTAATTTTCGACATTTTTGCAACAAGATTTGGGATGATTTATACAAAATTTGACAATTGTTCTGTCAATTGTCAAAACCTTGACCGGCAGTTTAACCAATAGATGTCGGCTTGGAGGAAAACTAAAATTAGAATTTTTGTTGGATTTTCACCAAATTAAACATCGTTAGGAAAACATGTTTACAATTACTCGTATAATTACAACCCGGAATGAGTCATGTTTGCTAACACATCATAATTCACTTTACAGGTTCCTGTAAATTGTTTACAAATTGAAAATTTTCTTGTGGGTGTTTTTAAATTACCGTTGTTTTGATCGCAATAAATCACTCCCATGATTTAATTGTGGAATATTTGAGTCCGGTATGAAATATTTTGATCGATTAGTTCATTTGTTGATATTGAGGGCGCCACTTGTGGTGTATTGGGAAAGGTGTGTCCCCCACTCCACTCTTACAGCCAATCACAACCTCTGTCACACGCCGGTAATCGACATAAAAGTATTAGAAACACGCTGAAATTGTCATTCTGTTAGTAAGCACGTGTGAGAGTGAGTGTTAATTGTTACAACCATGGCCTTCATGATGCCCGTTGTGAAGAACGATTGGGACATTTACAAGTCCAATCGTTCTCGCAGGACCTCCGAGTGCTCCAATCCGACATCCTGTCGTTCCCGCAAAGTGTCGGAATGCAAGAGCGAAGGGCCCAGTCTGTCCACCTCTCCAGGATCGGACTACATGGTCTCGCCCACCCATCGCAGTGTGCCTGCCAACATGTCCCGACAGTACTCCAGGACCTCACAGAGCAGTCTCCAGAGTCCCATCAAGAGCACCTCCTCGTCGCCACCAAAAAACGGCTCCGAGACAAGTCTCAACAAGTTCCACAACAGGCTTTTGGACAAGTTGAAGAAGTCGCTCAGGAGTAAAGATGCAGAAAGTGAAAGAACGAGTTCCTGAGACGAGGAGCCAAAGGACTCCACCTCCTAGAAAGTGAGGACGATTTTAGAGTGACTGCGACCGTGCTAACCGAACTGCGACTACGTATGTTCAGGTATAGCAATTGGTAATATTGCCCTGTGATATGTAGCGAAATTTTAGATTATTTAGATTATATTAGGGTTTTCTGGAGGCTAGCTCGGTCGATTTTTAATCAATGACTTATTGTTGTCATCAAAAAGTAGATATTTATGTGGTTATATTACTGAAAGACTGCTGGGAGGAAATTAGGAGTTTTTAAATGAAATATTATATTAAACTTAAGAGCCTATATTTGCTTGTTATATAAAGTCTGCTCCAAATTGCTGCGAGTTTCAAATTTCAGCAATTTGGAGCAAATACAAGAATATTACATAGTTTATAAGCAATTGTAATGAGGGAATGAAAAATCTCTCATCTAGTGGAACATTCCAAAATCGAAATAGTTTTGCAGTCATATCTAACGAATTACACGTACAATAAATAATACTTAATACGAGGACCATTTGGTACCTACATTGTGAATTATTAATTCTACGTACACTTATACAAATGTGTTCTATACAAATTGCGCCCTTTGTATTGTAATCTTTTGCTACTTATATGGAACGAATTTGTATGTAATATGGAGAAATAAACCTTGCCTTATGGCCGTGTGTTATTACAATCTTTCTTTTCTTTCTTCGCCCGAGCGAATGGAAAATTCCCAGCAAGTGTCGCTCACATTATACATCATGTTGACTCGCCTTTAAATAGCAATCTAACTTTTATGTCGTATAATAAGAGGAGAGGCAAATTTCCAACAACTCTGGAATTTTATCATTCACCTTGAGAGTATTGACCCTCAAAGCGGGATGCAATGGAAATTTTTTCCTGCATCGACCAAACTCCAATGCATTTCTCCCTCGAGGGAGGAAAGACGGGGAAAAATCGATACGACACGCCTTCGTTTGTACGCGAGCAGACAACCTTCAACGGCCTTTCTGACCTAGCTAGTGGCTGCGTATTTTGACTGTGCTTTCGCTAAAAATACCGACAAGAATTTTGCAAACAGGATCGCAAGCCAGGACATCGCCTGGCATTCCTTCAATTATGCTGCAAGGCGTCTCAAAGGCGGCAACAATTGTATAACAACTGACGCGGAAGAGGGTTTGCGAGTTCATGACCTTACTAACACCAAATCTTTTATTAGTTTGTTTTACAAACCATTAAATTTCAAGTCCAAATGAATTAATTTTTGGTAGGAAAGTATTTTGATATTGTTACTTTTTAATCGGATAACTTTCTTTGCTCCGTTATGTGGGCAGAACCTTGAATTTTTTACCATTGTATTATTAGAACGCCAATTACGTAGGTAAAAACATTTCATAACGACAAATTGCCGTATTATTTCCCTGATAAGAGTTTCAATTCTGCAATATTTGCCAACTCTTGTAATTTGCCTAGTCATTTGCCGAATTTATAATCTATTAATGAACGATTAGTCACGTAATTACAGGTAATCGTGCGTAGGTAATTCCTGGCAACATCTGCAACTTTTCATAAAAATATTCCATTCATTATCTGTCGCCGATACACCCATTTGTTGGTAGTTTTCCTCTGATAGGTATTGTATGACTCGCGGAATTTGCAACTACTGAAAATAATTTGGCAGTGACTTGTACTAGTCACCAGCCAAGTATAAATTTGATTTTTGTGCTCTAGATAGGTCCCGACTAAAGAAAAGTTTCGTTTTTCTCACTCATTTCCACCAGCAATGAAAAGTATTGATAAGAAAATTTTTATTCTTTACATAATGTCACGTACAAATTTTTATCATGAAGTGAAGTTTAATTTATTCGAGCAACGCCGGCTGAAGAATTATTGCTTTTTCAGTGTTACGTCCTTGAACCGTCAAGACACCTTTAGAATTTCATTTTTTACGACTGATAACTCCGCTCTATTACTCTTATTTACAAACATCGCAGTTTGTTTTGACAGTTTTGAGGGAAATAGGTCAACCGAATCAGGTCATTCGTTTCTTATTTCGTGTGTTGGACAAAGACGAGGAGATTTTCCCGGTTTGTCCCAGTGACGTCACAAATACGTAGTCCTGTATCCCTTTTCAGGCGCGTCTACGTGCACTCTGGCATGAACTGCGTGCAGGATCGACGCGTGGTCCTTCTACGTTGCAGGAATGGAGCAGTTCGATAAATCCACAAATGCCTCATTTCGAATGATAACAAACGCTCGAACTGGAAATGGACAGATTTATCTATTTATCATAGCTGTTGATTAACGATTTTTTACAGATATGAATAAATTGTGCGTCACCTTACTGACTTAAGTTTGACTAGCTCCGCCCATCCATTCGTACAGCCAATCACGGCCAACCTTCATCTGTCAAATTACGTGGGCGGAGCTTGCTTTATGACTTTATCGTCAAAATAAATTTGCTTTGAATGTACGTCAATGGTCTGACTCTTTTTGGGTTAAATGGTACGCAATCAATTGACATCTATTAGTATGGTCGCCGGTTAAAACTAACATGACACCGTTAATTTATTGCAAAATTGAACAACAAAACTAAATTTATTCATGTGAACACTTGATAACGCAAAATAAATATTTAGTTTAACTTCCTGTATGTTGTACAAACAGTTGGCCATGAGGTGCAGTTTAGTTTAAAAATAGCGTATCTGATTGATTGGGGGCGTGAAACCACGTGACTTCCGTTTTAATTTGTCAGTTTTTGAGTCAAGCAATTAGACAATTTGAGTGTCAAATATTTGGCAAAAACAAAAATTGGCGGTGAGACAATGCCAATATTTCTGTAATCTAAAATTGTTAACGGTTAGATTTCTGGCGCCAGATGCTCACATGTTCCAAACAACGCCAACGTTTTAAATTAATAAACTTGACGCTTTTCACAAATACGAGATTAAAATAGGTAAAAATTGGGGCTCGGGAACGAGATTAGCTCACAGCCACTTTGTTTTCCGATTGTCGGATTACGTAAAAGTGATAGAATTGATAATAGATGCAACACTACGCATGCATTCTTGTAATAATAACTTTTTATGTATCAAGGAAATAACAATCATTTTAATACTGAGAATGTAGGTAATTCTAGAAGCAACCAAAAAGAGCCGAGGGCATTTTCTTTTGAGGGATTAAGGTTACATAATAGGCGGACAAGGAATTTTAGACATGAAATTTATGTCAGTCTAGGAAATGTCAATGTAAGCCAGGCTTTATTGTCATTCTGATGGACGATTGAAACTAACATTTTAAAGTTTTAGTTGAAATTTATTTTTGGGGTCGATTTTCCGAAACAATAATAATGCCAGTTCAATAAATTATTTTGATTTGTTGTCATTTTTTCTCTAGCTGTCATTAATAAAATTTCAAAAACCGAAAGTGAGGTTAGTTGCATAAGGCCCGTTTTACATTTTTATGTCAATCGAATGACAAATCGTCCATAATTTGTCAAAATATTCACTTCATTCAATTGTAATTTTAAGAGTAAAATCGCTATTTCATTTATTTTATTCCTGAGGGAATAAGGGAAAGTAAATCTTTAGAACTCGATCTAGCTTTTCCTAAGTGTACATATTGGAAAAATTCTGGAAGATTTTCTATTGTCTCCAACCGAAATCGCTCTGTTATTATTACAAATAAAATCATAAAATCAGCAATAAAATAATGAAGATGATAAATTATAAAATCTAAATGAGTTCGGTCAGAAATATTTGCCTTGAATTTCAAGAATTATTAAATTTAAACGGCATTGAGTGCGTGATTTTGATCTATTTTTGACTTAATTGTTCTAGATCTCGGTCACAAGGCACAATATTGACACTTGGTCGAATCAGTTGCGACGCAAAACCCTTTATATGGGGCTAATAAATGAGTAACAGTTTACGAGCGCATTCAATGGCGTCGTTGTCAACTCATTACCGTCATGTTTATGTTTAGTCAATAAAAATCGGCAAATTAATACCACAATAGTTTACTCTCACCGGATTTTTCCGGTTTTCTGAGCTTTTTTCTCTTATCAATGAATAACATAGCAATTTTAATTAATTCGTAATTTGTTTATCAACTCCGCAGAAACCAAATTAGTGTGTTTATACGTAAAACATCAACAGAGTAATGAGTGTTTTGAATTGTTGTGGATAATTAAAGTCTACACAATTGCGAAGAAACATCAGATGAAATTTAACCCTGATTGTCATTCATCCTAGCAATTTGGAACTTTTAATTAAATGTTTGTATTTTTATCCTTGATACATCGAGTCGATGGCCTTGGATATTGTTTTGAGGAGTTTTTTTTTTGTCGAAGCGATGCTACAAAGTGCACGCGTGTCGCAAATTCAGATTACAAATGAGAGCGTCAAAGAGTTAAGTTTTGACGTCATCGTCGTCTAAAATTTCAGAAAAATTACTAGTCCATGTACAGTTGGAGACAAAATGCTTTGGTCGTCAATGTCACTTGAGTGACATTAAATTGTAAAGTATGCTTTAGGACTGTTAACTGTTAACCTTATATTTAGCTACTGTCAATCACTTTTAATTCCGAACTGTACGTCAAGTATTTGTCAAGCAAAACCGTATCCGGTTGCAGTGTTTCAAATTATTAACAAAAATACTTTCAAATCTGTTGCCAACAGACTAAGTCTTTCTGGATCACTTCGTATTTTTGATAGGAAAATATAATAGCTGTCATTAATTTGAAATTGTCATTAATTTTAACATTGAAGCTTGAAATGACTTGAATTAAATTAAAGTGTCAAAAAAGTGACGACCAAAGTATTTTGTTTCCAACTGTAACGAGAAAGAATGTCTCGCATTCAATAATTCCCTCGTTAATAATTCATTGACGAGTTTAAAAATAAATACGCTTCTTCGTGTGGTAATTGTATGATTGGACATCAATTATAAATAGAGAATAATATTGTTTTTGTTGGAATGAATGTTGAGGCTGCACCCATGACTCGTAAACAAATTCCAGTTTAGAAAAATAGAAAATTGGAAAAGTGAATTGAAATGGTTTGTCCCGGGTTGTTTTGGCTCAAAAACCTTGACCTACCATTATCCCACAAGTGACGTAACCCAAAAGTCGAAGACCTTATCAGAAATTGCTTATTGTTCTGTAATTTCTCTTTTTCCCCTCTCTCTCTCTGACTTTCTAATGCGTTTTAGTCGATAGAAAGAGTGACTCAAAGAGTAAATTTACTACGTAGAATTTTCGTAAAATTGAAATTAGATTAGCACTTCTTATGGGATTGGCACTCAAAAGTGACGCTAACGATGTTAACATTTATCAATAAGTAAAAAGATCAGTGGGCAAGGTAGGTGTAACACTTAAAGGTTTTCCTTTGATAAATTTTTCCACCCTGAGATTTATTCACGCTACAATACGAACTCCTCTAACTAAAATGCGCAGTTGTTGAGAAGGTCAGTTAGGGAAAAGGTCGCACCAAAATCAATACAACTCAAAGCCTTAAAAACGGAGGGCGATCAATTGTTTAAAATTTTGTCTAGGTCGGGATTGGCCAAAAGCGGAATGTTTTCGTTGTGTAATTACTCTTGTTTTGAACAGTTTATTTTTACAAGAGTGGAGGCTATAAGTTGGCAAACATCGTCATAAATATGCCGGTGACAACCTGTCCTAAATTGGCTTGTTGTCACTATTTTTAGATAGTCAAACAAAAGTTGTAACTCCCGAGGCGCATTACTTTTATTATTGAAATTACATAAGTGACCCCTAGAAACAGCTGCGTAAACCCTAACTATCGATTACGGTAAAAGTCGGTGTTCCTAATCCCTGCTTTGCTCCATGCATCCGAGATGTCGCCACCAAGACCGATCTCGCTGAAGACGTCATCACTATACTCGTTTTCAAATTTATGTGCATCGAAATAGTCGCTGAAAGGGATCATTTTAAGGTGGCACCCAGTGGCGGCTCCCTATGAAAATTTATGGGAGGACGCATTAGATTAAATAATAATAAATAATATTTTAATATTTATTGAATTATTTATTATTGAATGCAGGGGCGGATTGGCCAGGGGTGCCGGGGTGCCACAGCACCCTGGGCCCTCGAGTCTTACGGGCCCCTAATTATGGTAGGCCTATTATGTCAAGAGCTTATTGAAATAATATCAATTATTTTAAATTTGTAAATAAACTTTCCACAATGCATAGAGCTAATCCATGAAGTGCTGAACCACGATTTTCGCAGAAGCTAAGTGTGTTTAGTTTGAAGGAATTAAAAAATTGCCATCATAACAAATAAAACTATAATTTCTATAATTTCAATTATTTTAGCTTAATGTTTATAAGGTCTTACACGCATCTAAGAAAAATTCCGCGCAGATTCATACAAGTGATTCAAAAATTTGTGTCATAATTTTAATCACGAATACTCCTCTACAAATGAGCATAGATAACACAGTAATCCAACTCATCAAGCAATAGAAAAATTACAGCTTTTATAATCAAGAAATAAACAAATGTTCCTTTGGATTTAATGAAATTTACATTAAATATGACAGCATTGACAGCGATGTCATTCGTAGTGGATTCTTTCCAAGGTACGCTCAAAATTTATAAATTCTGATTTTGTGGCGCGGTGTAGAATTTACTTTAAACTCAAATAACTTGAGAACGGTACATTTTGGCGATATGAAACTACCCTTTTTATAAAAAAAAATGTTTAGGCTGTATCAAAAACAGAAATCAATAAGCCGAAAAAAAGTTATGGTCCCAACACTGGAAGGACCCATTGCTACCGGAAATGTATAGCTTCTATAAGACTTCCGTTTACACCAAATCAAAGAGTGTCTTTTTGTCTATGCAAAATTTAATAATAATCGGATAAACGGTAACAAAAATATTTCCAGAAAATCATTTTTTCATAACGACTTTTGGAAAGTTGTAATTTTTCTATTTTTTGAGTTGGGTCAATAAATACTGTACTATCTATTCTCAATTGTAGAGGGGTGTTCGTAATTAAAATTATGCCATACATTTTTTAATCAACCGATATAAAATATCGTTTTTACTTAAATGAATTTACTTTTAATTTTAATTTTTTTTTTTATTAGGTATTATTAGTGGGCATAAATAAATGGAAAAATCGAAATATAAGTATAAATTTGGTGCACAGAAACTAAAAGAAAAACAAAAATTAAAATTACAAGCAGCCTCTGAAGACGTTCATCTAAAAACTTTTTAGATTTTTTTTCGGTTATTAAACCATCACGATTTCAACTGACGTCACAATCTCAATAGAGGAAACAAACTCCTTCAAAAAAATACTACATTAAGTGACAAGTAGTTTTTATACATATTTTTATTGTATTGTATATTGGGCCCTCATTTCAACTTTTAGCACTCCATATAAAAATTTGCCAGTCCGCCCCTGATTGAATGCCACCGCAATGAAATCAGGAACACGTGGATGCAAAGGCAGGAAAGCTGGAAGAGTTGAGATAGATGCAAGATGCAATTTCTCTTTTTCTCTCCCATGCATCGAATGAGATCCGACCGGTGTCCGAATTCTGACGTAATTTTTCCAGGTTTCTACCGTTGCAATATTGAAGGCGTTGTAGGCACACGACCTTCGATTAGTGTCCCTCGACTCGCATTCTCGTTAACTCGGATGTATACGTGCATTCAGATATTAATTCTTGGAAACAAGAGTCATTGGGACAAAGTTGCTCGAAAGAAAAACAAATCATTAGATTTGTTCATATTAATTCATATTATTGAATGTTATTTTTTTTTTAATTTTATGTGGGAGGACAGTGTCCAGAGCGCCTTCCTGCTAAAGCCGCCCCTGGTGGCACCCATGCAAACATTCAAACAATCCTAACCTCAATCTTCCCTAAAAATTATTTTTTTAAAATAAATGTAAACCCCAGGTAGCAAAAAACAATTAAAATTAATATAGGGTAGCAAACATAACAATTTTTGTCATTATTGATGTGATTAAATAATTAAAATTAACAACGCAAGTAACATAGGGTAGCAAACAACAATCTTTGTCATTATTGATGTGATTAAATTTGTTCTGAATGACATTAATGACACCTTTTGTGTAATTCAGCCTTTAAATTAAAGATGCATTTAGACTTCTACAACCTACTTGATGCACATTGATATAAAAGAGTATATAAAACGATATTGTCAAGATTTATTAAGTAAGAAGGTTGCCTCATAACTTTGCACCAATCACGTGTGAGCATCATTCGCGCGAATTGACGTCACTGAAGTGATCGTTCAAAAATAGGATATGCAACCTAACATATTATTAAGTTAAAGAACTAGAATTTCGTAAAAAAATACTGATACATTTTTTTATTAAAGGTAAAATAAATAAAATATACACATAGATAAAAAACATAAATTTATTTTGTTAAAATTTGCAATATTTTAATTTATAATTTTTTTTCTTTGATTTGTTTATCAGAAATTTTCTGATAACTATTTATCGCAGAACACTTATCTTTTTTATATATGATAGAAAATTAAATTTTCTTTTCAACGGTATGAAACATAAGAGGTTATCACTGATAAGTCCTGAGTTATCGGCAACAGACCGCTCCGGGTGCCAAAAATCGACCAAAATCTCGATAAAAAATCAAAAAAGTGATCTTATAGACACAAAAAATTGCATAAAACGTCATTGGGTCAAGTTTAAAAAATTACGAATTTTTTGAGTTTAAAAACGCTTGAAATATGTTTTTTAGATGTAAAATTACCCGCTGAACAGATGCAACAGGTTAAAATACTCTACTATGCATAGTTTTTGCGATATTGATATGAATTGACCGCGACTTTATAAAAGTAAATAAAGTCGCGGTCAATTTATAGTGGCCACTTCCCTGTGTAAATTTGAGTTATTATATTCCACTCTGTGAAACAAAATTCTTAATAATCTACTAATGTTTTTTTTTTTTTCATTATCTTATAAGAAAACTGCGTTTACCAAATGATTATAAGTAGAAGAATTAATAAAAGACAACAAATAAGAAATTATAATATATTTTGGACAAAACATTTAGAAAAAAAAAATCATAAATGAAAAAAAATTATAAATTACTTTCGTCGAAATGCGTCTTATTGTAATTCTTAAATTTAAGCTGCAAATTAATTTGAACTCCAACATCTTCGATCTTCCTAATTTCTTCAATAATTCGTTTTAAAGTCCGTTTTTCCGAAATTTCCCAACTTTTAGGCACCGAAAGCACTTCCAACAGTAAAATTGCCATTGCAGGAACTGGATGATTTTTTATCATTTTCTCGTAATAATCCAACCGCTTCGCTTTATAACTTTCAAAATATTTCAAATTGGATTTCAGTTCCGGTGCAAACAAGCGAACAACAAAAGGTCCGCAATCAGTAACAATATTTTGAAAGAAATCAATAATTTTCGTGACCATTTCATCCGGGCTGAGACTTTCCGATGACTCCAATTTTAATTTCAAAAAGAATACCCTTATAAAATCTTTGAAATTTTCCACCATTGTAACCTTGCTTTCGTAGAAAGTGACAAAAGGCTCAAACGACTTCAAGTTGAAGCTTGACTTATCCATAATACTGTCGTACCAGTGGTCGATAAACGCAGTCACTTGTTCCTGGTTTTCGCATTGGTTAACATTAGTAAAAATTTGTTGCAAAATTTGGTCTTTCTCGTCTCGCAACGACACGAAAAGTGAGGCGAACCCATAGATATAAGTGGAGAAGCTTTTTTCCTTGGACATAAAGTGATCTTGAAGTATTTTCATGACGAACTCCAAAGAAATTTGCCTTATTATGTCTACGTTCATAGAGAGTAATAAACTTTCCTTCATAGGTTTCAACTTCTTCCAAATATCAACAGTTTTTTCCAAAAACTCCCAACAGTACTGTATGTACGAGGCTTGGTACTTTAGTGGTATTTTTCGTACATACTGTAACATAGTATTCAAGGATTCTTCATCGGTTTTCTTGATGAAGAGCATATTCAACTTAACCAACTCGAAACCTGAATCCGAAGGATTTTTCAAAAAATACTGAAAGGTACTAGAGAAAATTTGCTTCTGCAGCGACAAAACATTCTCCTGTGTGTTCAATATCTTAATCATAGATTCGATAGTCGATGAGGTGCACAACTCACAAGTGAAGAAAAGTGCATGTTTCCGCACTGAGACGGCCTTTGTCGATAAATAATTCAAGTAGTGAGGAAGCAAGTTTTCGGGGGTACGGTACATAATACTATTGAGTGACCTCAAGGCATATTTAAAGTAGTCTCCAGCGCAATAATTCAGTAGAGAATCGAGTACTTTGTACGTTTTCGTATTACGAAACTGCTGCGCTATAGCACATTGCAATTTGTATAATTTTACTTCAGTCTCATTTTTCAAATCGAGTTTTTTATTAGCTGGTTTGAATTTATCAGCAAAAATTGCGTAATCAACGGGGTTCATAAGAACAGAAAGGCATGCAACAAGATTTGATTTGTTTTCAAGGCAACTATCATCGTATATTTTGGAAAGACAAAGCTCAAAAGATTTTTCATTCATTTGGTTGTATTTTTTGATTTTGTACCAGATTTTAAGTTTTTTAAACGAATCGGTGTCTTTTGAGACAAGTGATTTGAAAACCTTGTCAAAATTTTTGGCACAAGTTTCAGGGTCGTATTTTAAGAACCAATCGAGATCGTTAGAATTGTAGTAATCATCGAAATGTTCCCAATAAATTTGCAAATATTCGTCTTTGTACTGATTATTATCAAACGTAAAAATTTTCTTTTTTAAATTCTTCTTTAAGTACTCATAACTGGACAGATGGGGATTTTTAATTAAAAAATCAAATGTTTGTGCTAGTTTGGGAAACTCATAAAATGAGAACTGATCATCTTTGTGAGCCTTATTCCAATAGTTAATTTCTTGAATCAATCTACTATTAAAATCCACAGCATCAGTTTCATTTAGATTTTCTTTAGACAAATTCTGAATGATGCAATTTAAGAAATATTTGCTAAAATCCTTGTCATATTTAGTCCAGCTTGGAAAACCTGAACCGGACGTGTAATAATCCAAAATCAGGTTATCAATCGGTTCGCCCTTCTTAAATAAAAATTCTAAATAAGACAACTTTTGGTGAGAGGAAGTTCCTAAATTAAGACTCATCAAAGGCTGAGTTTGTATTTTTTGATAAGTGGAAGGGTCGTCATTATATTTCAACAAATGGAAAGCCAACAGTTCGTTAAGAGTGTCCCACATTTCGGCCGTAAATTCTTTAAAACCTATAAGGTATTCGATATTATTGATGAACTCCATGTGGACACTAAACTCGTCATTTTTATGGCGAAAACAGAAATATTTCATAACAGTGTGTAGTGCGTTTATGTCATTATTAATGCGGCAGGTTTCAATTAAACATTTTATCAGTTGTCCCCTTTCGTAAATGTCTGAAGTAAAATTAATTTTTTCTTTTAAAAGCGGGATTGACTCGTTGGTTGTCAGATATATAATAAACTCATCATCGCCTTGATCGACTTTAACTTTTGCCAGAATTGCTCGTTCTAAATTGTCTGGTATTAATTTTAAGAGAGCTTCATTAATCAGTTTCGGGTGATGAACATATTGTATGTTATAGTGCGTCTGAAATGATTTAACAAAAAGGGAATAATGGTAACGCTGAGGGAAATTTTTAAACAACCAACTAACTGAATGTATGTCTGGAGGTGATTCGGGTAGCCAACTATAAAATATCTTAAGAGATTCTTTACCCAATTTTCTAACAACCGCCCTCATGTCTAGATATTCAAATCTGTAAGGTGTGTTTATTATTTCATCTTTTTTAACAACAGCGAATTTTTTACTAGCTCGACGACCAAGTGTGACACAAACATCATTAAATTTCTTTTTAAGACAATCATATAAAACGCGATCTTTTAAAAAAATGTATTTAAAAAAACTCTTGTATGAAGATCGCCCTACTGAATCTTTGGTCACAGTGAAATAAAAATCAATCAATTCGGGGTCTTTCTCGTACAAAATCCTCAATTGAGTTGACGTTAACCGCAGAGGTTTTACCTGCAAACTTTCCCGAATTTTGGCAGGACTGCATCCGGTAATAAACTGCTGCGCAATAAATATGCCATATCGTGAGGCAACTGCCTCAAATACCTCATCAAACTTAGTTGAATACCGACTCAACTTCCTCAATACCTTCATACGGACACAAAACGAAAAGCAAGGCAAAATCTCATTGACGATTTCCTCAGGTGGCACATTATTGAACGATTCTTGGAAGAACCAAACTTGTTTGCAAATTTTGCTCACAAAAACATCGTTTCCTTCTTTGAGTAACTGAAGCAATTCGTGGCTTCGTCGGAAAAATATCAAAAGTTCCACTTTGAATAGACTTTCCAGGTAGGTTTGGGGCTCCAAGGCTGTGCAAAGTGAGTCCAAAATTTGAGGGTTGTTCTTCAACGATGCATTCTTGTGTAATAAATTGTAAAAGTTTTTGCGCCTTTCGGCGATTGTAACGCCTTCCAGACCATAGAATTTTAAACAGAAGTCTTCAGCGGGGTTAGCCATTTGATTTTATGTGACTAGAAAAAAATATTAGATAGGTTAGGAAAATATGAGAAAAAACTTACTTTTGTGTTATGATTTAATGTACTTGGGGATAAGTATTTCTATTTGTCGCTAATAATAACTGATAAGCACACGCAGTTAAGACTAATTTTCTCGGAGAAAGAAGAAGAAGAACTGAATACACCAACGCCACTGATAACGCAGCTGATAAGTGAATTTAGTGAATCATCATTGGAATATTTGGAAATTCCACTTCTGAAAGTACAGTGTGAACAAAAAAAAATAAACCAAGCTTATATTGCATAAATTAAAAAAAAAACTAATTAATGAATGATAAGGACTATAAAATTATTAGACTTTTTGTCTAAGTTAAATTTAATTTAAGTTTCAATTTGAGAAAAATTGTTACAATTTGTATTACTGGTTGCATAACGTTGCTAAGTTAAACTAAATAAAACTAGAATTCAAGATCGTACAGCTTCCAAAAATGAAATTTTTTCAAATGTAAGTTCGGTTCTAATTGTCAATTGTCAACTTAACAATATCTATTTCTATTGTCATTAAATTTGTACCAACTTGCAACAATGCCGCATTGAAAAAACCAGGATCATCGCTCACCTGGAAAATGGTAGGAAAATTATGGATTTAGCGGCTGAATTTAGAGTGGGAAAAAGTACCGTCGTAAAGATTTAAAAAAGTGGGTAAATGAGCGCACTGTGAAGCGCAAGGTGGGTTTAGGACGCCCTAAAAATTCTAATGAACAAGATGAAGTTTTACAGATTTGCTCGTTTCAGGTAAAGTAAAAAATGTTTTTCCTTTGCAGTTTTGGCGTAAACTCAATCCGGGGACATACTATGCTCAACATAGGAAACCATTTCTATCAATAAGAGTTCATTGAGCGAGATCGGTCATAGTGGCGACATCTCATGGAGCAAAGCAGGAAATGGGAACACCAACTTTTACCGTAATCGTTAGTTAGGGTTTACGCAGCTTTTCCAGGGGCCACTTATGTAATTTTAATTTAGATACTTTAATTTTCTTTTTTACATAATACATACACTAATTATTTACTGGTTAAGATTTTAAATGTTCCGGAAGCGTTTGTAATTCAACCTAAAATAAATCGAATAAAAACCTAAATGAGTTGGTTGATTATTGTTTACTTTTGTCGCTTTGAGGGCCACTCCTTCCGGCAAATTCCGCTCAATATATTCCAATAATGTATCAGCGGTACTTCCTGTCAAGTATTTGAACTGAATAAAATTAAAGTATGTCCTAGTTTCATATTGAACTTGATGCTTTTTATAAATATGTACAGACTTCAAAACGCTACGTCTATCATGAATGGGTTTACGTAAACTCCACCTACAAAAACTCGTAAAATTTACATTCATTATTACTACAAAAAAAATACGATTTTGATTGAACATCCAAATGATTCCCTGCTGTTGTGGCAAATTTTACAAAACTTTGAAGAACAGCAGGATCGTGGCCTTTTAATTCTAATTCCATAATTTTAAGCAGTTTATCAGTTTCATTCTCTTCAATTTTTGCTAAATTTGAATATTGACGATTTGACAGTTTTGAGGTTATGTTGCTCACATGCCTAAATAATCGGCAAAAATTCTACGAAATTGAACCGATTAGGAGGTTTTACTGCAAGTTATTCAAAACTTACCATCTTAGTGTTTTTAATTTAAATTTGTAAAATTTAATAACGGTTTTTAGGGTTCTTCTACAAAAACAAGTTTGACTTTAAACCAACCAGGGAGTATTGTTGGTTGTATAAACTGTTGGGGGTAGCAAATTTAAAATTTTTATTTAATTTTTATTGATGTCAAATAAAGTTTTAAAATTTGTTTGAATGCATCTAAAACAATTTTTTAATGCGCATTGTTGAAAATATAATTACATCAAGTGTTAAAAAACTATAAATTTTTAGTTTAAAGAAGTTTAAAATTTGTCAAAAATGATACAAATTTTGTAAAATAAAGCGCAATTTTAATGAAATAAATAGTAATGATAATAATTTAAAAAAAATGATGATGAATATCTTATGCAAATTTTCTTTCCTGTAACGTTGGTTGCATAACACTAGTAGCCAAAATTACTTGTTATTTAATTAATTAATTGCAATTAGCACTATTGTCAAGGGTATGGCTAGAGAATATTAATTCAGATAAGTGTTTGACAAATTTCTTGCACTTGATTAAATTAAGGCCGAAAAGACATGCGCTAGTTGTAGCATTGTGGGCTTTTTACGCCATTTAGATCTTTCGGAACTGTGCTTTTCGGTCGGTATTCCCCTGCAGTGGTACCACCACTGGAGTTTGTTTGTTCTTCGGGTGGGGCGGTGTGGTGCGGAGGCGAGTTTTCGTGACGCAGTCGCGTTTTATTGTGAGTTTTAATGTTTTGACATGTAGTGCATTTAAATTTTCGGTTCGATTTGTGTTTTTATTTTGATTATGTGTTCGTTTTTCATAGTGTAGTGCGCGTAACGTCACTGCACCATTGTCACCTAGTGATCGACGACGCCAACTCGAAAAAACACACACCGAAAAGTGGAGGAAAAGGCGCTACGGTGACGTTATTTTGTGTGCCTCGACAAAAGCGATCATCTCAGAACGAAGGCGTAAGTAGAAATTTCGTGGCCTTGACGCCGTTTCCGGCGTCGGGGGGCACTATTGTTGAAACGCTGAAACAGTTGTTACGTCATCGAACGAGATCACGGTCATCCTCTTTTACGTGCCGTATCAATTCCTGTGGACGGTGAACTCGCGTTTCCGCTTCAGCTGATGATGGGGTTGGGGGAAACACAGAGGTGTGGGTGGCAACACTTGACCGAAATGACAATGGAATGCCCAGATTTGACACATAACGAACGGGGTTAAAGGAAGCACAATGGGACTATATGGGACACTTAACAAAGAAAGGAAATGCGGCAGCTGCGAGGAATGATTTATTGACCGAAAAGACACAAAATTTAAGTTTTACGAGCATTTTTACCGGTCCAAATAGGGTGTATACTAGTGTCAAAACAGAAATTTGGCACCAGAACTGTCGTCTTGTTAAGTTGGTACAATCCGAAATTCAAAAAAATAGCTTTCTGTGGAAACTGTAAAAGCAAAAGTAATGTGGCGTTATTTCATGTAGAATTTTTGTATTTCTTACAATGTGTTTGTGATTGGCCAAATCAAAATAACAATCTAAAACAATCTTGCACTAAAGTGGAAGCATTAAAATGTATGATTCCGGAATAATCTTTACGTATATGAAAATTAGAACAAAATTTATTATTATTCGGAAAATTCAATACATAATTGCCATTCTTCTTTAGATTTTTATTTAATTGATGACGATAGTACCAACAAAACTGATGTTTCATGTTAATTTGGTCTTTATGCACTTTTGTGACCGACTAACTATTGATTTTTATGAATCATTACTATCAAAAATACTCGTTTGGCCTTGAGAGTCTTTGAGAATACATCTTACTTGACACTTGTAAATATTTTTTGAGTTTAGATATTTTTGAGTTTTTTTATGTTTATGTCCTTGATAATCATTGTTTAATTTATACGCTGGTATATTTTTTGCCGTTTCCGACATGGTGAAAGTGTAGTAATTAATGCAAATTAATGAATTTTCTTAATTACGGAACTAGATTGCATCTAGTTCAGTCGTCCAAAGTCGGTCGAAAAAAATGTTTTTCCTCGTGGTGGAAAGTGCAGCGACGCTAGCAGTCCGTGCAGCGGTCAGTGGCTTTGTCGAAGACATTTAACTTGTAGTGACCTTGTAGCCCGCATTGGCATTACGTCTGTTTTCGAAGACAAGTTCCGCAATGGCTCGAGGCTGTCGAAACAAAAGAGCATTTTGCGTGGGTAGATTGCGTCGTTCTAATTTCGCCACCGCGTGTGTGAATTCTTGGTGAAAGCTCGGCTTCTCATCTCATTGTTACCGATATATTCGGGGAGTTTTGTAAACGAGACGCCGCTGCTTCTAATTGTCGACAATTAGAGTTAATTGGCGACGATGAAAAATGGAATTTTGTTGGCCGTCGCGCCATTGTTGGTGGTTTCCGTCGATTCTTCCTTCGGCCGGATGTGCGACGAAATGAAGGATGAATTCGCAGCTTTGATGTCATTGAAGATATTCGGTATTACGGAGATTTCTAATGGATTTTTAGTTTGTTACGCTAGAGGAGTAATTGCTGATTTCCGTCGCGGTCTCTCGACCAACTATGGACGATGAGGTTTTCCCGACTGTGACGGATTTTCCGACAAAAACTGCATCAAAAACATCACTACGCCGTAAAAATAAGAATACAAAATTTTATTATCATTTTTCTCCATCAGTCGTAATCGAAAATCTTGATTTTACGTCGGAAAACACATTTTTCATGACACCAATTTTTCGCGCTTTCCCAAGCATGGCAAATAGCAGATTTTGAGGTAAATCTTTTCGAAACTACTACTTTTATCAAGAAACAAAATCTTTTCGATTGCGAGAGTCAACCTCTTCTGTTCTATGGCAAATTTTTATTTTATTTTTAAATATTACTAAGGAAACGCCAGTTTTGATAAAATAAAGTTTTTCACCAGTCGGATTAAATTATGAAATTTTTAATGTCATTTTTGAAAGGTGAAATTGACGTTTTTAAAACTAGGAAAAAAATTTTACCAAAGCAATTCTACTTTTAATCGTAAACTTACACATTTTTTAAATCTTAGCTATTGACACTTTTAAACCTAAAAATATTTTTTTTCTAATTTTGCGCATGTTATTGTTGGCTAGAGAAAAAATAGCATGTTTTATTCCACTTAAAAGTGAGTCTTTGTCTCCCAATTTTGCAAAATTTGTTCGCCAAAGAAGTGACACTTTTAATTCTAGTAAAGCGTTTACTATTAGCAGAATTACCAAATAAAAAGTTTTGTTAATGGAAACCGAACATTTAACCATATGTATTTCTGATTTTGTATGTATCGTTGAAATCAAACATTTTTATGAAGATGATTTTACGCAAAAACTCTCGGACATCAAATCGTTGAATTCATTTGCGAAAAACTAAACGTTAATGAAATAATTTTTTTTTTATTGCTAAATTGCAAATGTTGAATCTTTTTCTATACTTCCAAAACTCAAACATATTTATCAAATTATGAATCGTGTTTAAAGACAGTCTTCTGATTTGAAGTACCGATCTCTTTTACGTAAGAAAAACTAAAATTTAATAGAATGAATCGTTTCGTCACAAAATAAAATATTATGAATAATTTTCAGGTTATATTTTTAAAATTATTAAATGCAGTGAGAAAGTTTGTGTAACTGTGAATTTTCAGGTGATTTTACATACGAAATGTGGAATTTTCCTGTAATATCTTTTTTTTGAAAATGTAATTTTTATTGTACTAATAGTATTAAAACTAAGTTATTTACTGTAATATTTTTTTTAAGATTTTTATTTTTGAGATAATTTTTATAACAATAACAGTTCAATCTTAGGAAAATTTAGCTTTTCTGTTATAAAATAGTGGCGAAATGGTAAGTTTTATTTAAGTTTTGTTACGAGAAGTCCAAACTTATACTGAGATTTTAAAACATTTTACTTTACACAATAAAAACTTCTTGGCTTTTAAGATTGGTAAAATAACAAGTTTTTAAATTTCCTTGTTTAAAACCTATACTTTTGACGATATTTTATTACATATTTGGGGTTTCTCAGATTAGATTATTCTAAGTGGGAAAAGCTTAATTTCACTGAAATTAATATTCCTCGCTTATCAATTAATGTCAAAATAACGAGTCTTTATTTTCTTATCGATTTTTTTTTTCAATATTGTGTAAAATTTTACCTCGGAAAAATTCAGTTGCAATTAATTCATGCTGTTCTCCTTTTCCGAACATTGCAAAACGCTTGATTTAAATTGTTAGTTCCAGCTAAAAAACTTGTTTGTGGTGGTATTAGAGAAAAAAAATTTCAAATTTCTTAATTGACACTCCATTTAAACATTTAGAAAATCAGGTTTTCCCGCTTTAAAAAAGGCAATGTCGTGTAATTGTTACCATCTCATTTCGGGTGTTAAAAGTAAAAAGCCACGTGGGAAAATTACACTTCATCCATGAGAAATTCTTTTAATTTCTTAATCGTCGATCCGGTCGTGTGCAACTGCTTCATTATTATTTCAAACAGTCGAAGTGAATCATCGCATTTTAACGGTGTTTCTGTTTTATTAAATGAAAATTAATATCTAGAAGCCATCCGCCTATTGTAAATATTTGCTAGGTATTTCCGACATATGGTGAACTAGATCTCGACTTTCCCCTAGGTTTGTTAGTGGCGTGTTTATAAATTCTTGCGATGAGGGACATTCAACAGACAAATATGGACCAACTGTTGCTCCCCCATTGAAGAAAACAATCCATTCATTTTTTCCCAACTTAATCAATATGACCATGGGTCAGACTAATCCATAGACAATGGGTCGATTCCGACGTCATGGACCATGACTCAAATATGATTCATACGAAATTATAAATAAAAATGTCACGGGTTGATAGGAAAGTAAGCAAATAAGATAATAATCGTTATTGGCAGATAAGATAAGGCACCATTTCGTTATTGTTTTTTTTTTTTTTAAGTTTATAATAAAGGAATAAGGAGCTATAAAAGCAACATTGTTAATTCTGTTATCCTGTAATAACTTCCAACAGAGTTAAAGCTAACTGTAGAGCGAACGGTTAATCAATAGTCGTAACGTAGCCCGTAGCGTAACGATAACACAAATGTGTGACCTTAGATTTGAGTGAAAATGTTAGAAACTGAGCTTGAAGAGGGTTAAAGGCCACAATTGATCCACGTATCAACATTATAAAGTAAAGCATGAAAAAAATCACGTTTTCACTGTTATTTTTGCCTTTCTAGTGACAAAAACCGCTCCAAATCCATGTTATTAATTTTTATCTCGTCCATCAAGTCAACAAAGCTTATCAAAAAGTGGGGAACTGTTATCACACCTCGTCCACACCTACGTTTGTTGGATGAGTAGTAGCGAAGGGATTCCTTATGAATAGACTGCGATGGTATGCGACACATGGTCGTACAATGACTGCATTTTTATCAAATTGTGGGTGTAATTTTTTCCTTAGAAAGTGTTGATATTTATGTTTATTTAGTACGGCGTTTCAACTAGTTCACTAGGTCAAAGTTCAAAAGACGGAAAATTGGTAAAAGTCGGGAGGTTTTTCGGAAGAATTCGACGCTGCCACTGGATTAAGTGACTCATGTCGGGTCATTTGAGAACATGAGGCTTTGTTGAGATATGCCGAAGCGTGACGTGGACAAGGAATGACAGAGATTTCCAAATGGGCGAGGAATTTTTTTTAGAATCTATCGAAAATGAAGTGTCACAAAGTGCCAATAGAAGTGATTTGTGGTATTTAGAAGACCCGGTCTAAAACCAAGCAGACAATATTATTTAATGGTTAAGTTTTGCTAAAAAAATTAAATTTAAATGTTAAAAAAATTACAAAACAGCAAGTATTAATTTCTTTGTTGTGAACTCAAAATTTTTACTATACTTGTGAAACTATCAGCAGTAATTAAAAGTTATTGAATTTCCTAGTTTTTTTTTGAAGAAATTAAGCTTTTAGGCCATAAGGGGTTACATAGCTGAAAATAATAAAAAAGCAAAATAACGAATTTTTACGTTTCATCATTGGTAATACGTTATTTGAAAGTAACACTTAAGGAATCAAGGGAATACTTATTTAATCTCGAGGAATTAACGATATTTATTCCAGAGATGTATACAAGACGTTTCTCCCAACAGACTAAATTAATATCATAAGAAAATGTTTAGGTACAGTGAGCGGCAAAATTATGGAATAATCTTATTTATTAAAACTGATAACATTTTTTTTGACAAAAATGCTCGAACAGGTCCTTTTTCTTTTAAAATACAAAATTCTCAACTTGATTTAAAGTTGTATGTTTGTTTTTTGTTGATATTATTTCACTTTTTTTGTGATTTTTTTTCTCGAAAACTTTATGTAATGTTAAATATTTTGTCATGTTGACAATTAGAACGAAGTGGCTAAAAAATCCAACGAAGTGGCTAAAAAAATTAGGGGTTTTCATTTAAAAAAATGTCAATGATGTCATTACTCAAAAACTCTGAAGTGTAAAATTTTAAATTAAGTTAAAAATTGTATATTTTCAGTTTTTATACTGTATTTGTCAAATGTCAAATAATTTGTAAAAATATTCATATCATTCAGTTGCTCAATTTTATGAGTTATCAAGGAATTTGTTTATGTTAAGAAACACTCAAAAGATTAAATTTATTCAATTCTAGTTTATTGTAAGAGTAAAAATCGGTATTTTTTTATTTAATCCCTCACTTTATTCCCTGTTGGGAAAAAAATCCTTAGAGAGGACATTTTACCGATCGACGACAATTGTTTGGAAGAGGAGCGAAGCGACGAATTGTCTGAGATAGGTAAAGTCCTTAATTATGTTCGAGATGCTTATGACATTTTTTGCGTGATTGATTTTTGTTAGTTTTTTTAATAAAATATAGAGTGTGATGAAAAAGTCTGTCTATCAAGCAAGCCTAGAAATTTAAAACGTGTGTCTGTGGAAGATAAAATGTCACAATGACGTTTCAAATGATAATTCAATTTGCTTAGATCAATATTTTAATTTTTTGAGACCTAGCTGACATACGAACTACCAGGCGTCATACGTCCTCAACTAATACCTACGCCTACTTGATAGAAAGACTTTTTGATCGCACTGTATAAAAGATGTTCTAGAACGTCAAAATACTTTGGCGACGACTTTGAATGCTTACCGACGAGTTTGTCGTTAGCAACAATAAACAAAATACTTACCGACGAGTTTGGGATAGCAACGAGTAAAATACAACTTACTGTCTTGGAAACAAACGTAGTAAATAATCGAATAGTGTCTAATAGCGCAAAAAGTTGATTTTATTCACGAAAAACAAAACTTTATTGAATTAAAAAAGGCATCTCTTCTGACACAATAATTTTGCTACTTAACAATAACAAAAGATAATAGGACGCTCATTTATTTTGTACCCACGAATTTTTTAATTATAACGACATTTAAGTAACAAAAAGCAAAAAATATTAATATTAATGCTTTGCGATTGAAATTTCAGCTTATTGTGATTTCACAATTTGGAACAAACATTATTTCATTTTCCTTTCTGCAGATTACTGTTATTAAAAGTAATTTTCTCTTTCATTTTATAACAATGAAAGAGTTTTCAATTATGATTATTTCAAGTGTTTGATTTTATATTTTATCAGTTGTTGTCGATGTTGTGTAGGAGGAGATACGCTAGACTGGATCTTATTTCCGTCCGGTATTATTTCCTGTACGAAAATCAAACGATAATGTACCAAAAATAACTGACCTTTAATCATGTCAAAAAGGGCTAATTTACTCGAATTTATTATTTGCGGGCGATATATTACGAAGCCAGCTGTAAGCAGAATTTAATCTTTTCCAGAACAGATGCTCCACGTTTTTAACCTTTACGACAGACGCCATACCTCCACAATTAGACACTTCAAAGAAACATTGACTTGCATTACACCCACCAAAAAAGATAATTCTGTTTTTTTTTTTAATTGAGTTATTTTTTTTTCAGCGTGATGGGATGATCGGCTTGCAAGAATGTGGGCCCGCGCCACCTAGAGCGCCGGTTTCGGGAAGCCGGGCCCGCGACCGCACGGCCCAAGCCGTGGACTACTACAACACCCACGTGCACCGTGCATGGGCAAACGCCGGCCTCTCGAGATCGTCATTCAACGACCGCCACCAGTCGTCCACGCGCCGCCACCATTTAGCCCCCGAGCAGCTCTACCGCAGCAACTCCAGCTTGGAACTCCTGGACCACAACGGCCGTCCCTCGAATCCGTCGACGCCGACGCTGAAACGCGAGTACGGCAGTCACGGCAGCATCGACGTCATCGATCGGCCTTCGGGAGTCGGCGAGTCGTTCTTTGCCATGCTCCAGGACTACCAACCGGCCGTTCTGGGAGCCATCGCCGCCGATCAGCGATCACCAGGTCCCGCGGAGTACCTCCGAGGGAAGGTCGATGTCGAAAGCGTCGAAGACGCGGGCGTTCCCAGCAGCCCCAAGTCGAGGGTGAAGTTGTCGAGGTTTTGGGGCAACGGACCCGTTAACGTGAAAAATCAAAGACAAGCCATGGACGATAGCATGGTGAATACGTCTTCCAGTAGTTGTAGTGTTATTTGTTCGGCCGAAGCTGAGGAAATTGCAAGGAGGAGGGCTTTCTGCCATTATGACTGTCAGTCTTTGACGACGAATTTGAATTATACGGCTAGGTTAGTCGATGCGAGGTTTTGGAACGTTTTAAATTGGGTTTTTGACAGGTTAAGGCGGATTTTAGCCAAGAGACGGAACACAACGACGGGCGCTTCGGCCGCGTCTATGTTAGCCAAATCTTTTACCTCAGATGGTGACAGTGGAGAAGAAGACAATGGTGATGGACAAAACAACGATCTCGTACAAAGTTGTCCGTTCTTTCGCAACGAAATTGGAGGTGAAGAAGAACGAATTGTTAGTTTGACCAGATTGCAAAGTACTCAAGGTTTAGGCTGCAAGAAACCTCTACATCGTCCACCTCTAGCTTACGGGGTTGCCGTCTTAGAATTCCCTCCAGGTGAAACGCATTGGAGACATTCCACATGTCCCTACCAGCGTCTACCCAGACCCATTGAAAGCGTTGATCAGGGCGCTTTATACTACCGAAAGTATTTCTACGGACAAGGTAGTTGCTCATTTTATGACACAATAAAATGAGGAATGCGCGAAAATTCGTTATTTTTATTGCAGAGCACCAGAATTGGTTTGGAATGGATGAACAACTCGGTCCCGTGGCAATTTCCATAAGGCGCGAGAAAGTCATTCATTTAGACAACCACTCTTCATCTTCAGTAATGCAATACCAATATCGACTGGTGATCCGTACTTCTGAACTTCAAACCTTCAGAGGATCGATTCTTGAAGATGCCATTCCCAGTATTAAGGCATCGAGTAGTAGCAAAACTTTTAACATAAAAGAAGTTCTCGAATACGTTGCCCCTGAAATCCAATTGAGTTCGTTACGATTAGGAGTCCAGAACCAACAAACCGAAGAACAATTACTGAAATTGGACGAACAAGGACTTAACAATCATTACAAAGTCGGCGTAATGTATTGTAAAGCGGGACAATCATCGGAAGAGGAAATGTACAATAATGAAGAAGCCGGTCCTGCTTTCGTCGAATTTCTAGAAACGATCGGGAAAACAGTCCGACTTAAAGGATTCTCGAAGTATAAGGCCGGATTGGATAACAAATGTGGGTAATTCAGTAAACTGTAATTTCCTATTTTCAATTATTGTGTTACAGCCGATTCCACCGGTTTATTTTCGGTATATTCGCAATACCAGGACTGCGAAATTATGTTTCACGTCTCGACAATGTTGCCGTTTACGCCAAACAACCGGCAACAGCTCCTCCGTAAACGTCACATCGGTAACGATATCGTAACGATAGTGTTCCAAGAACCGGGGGCTTTACCCTTCACACCGAAAGGAATCCGGTCACAGTTTCAACACGTCTTTATCGTGGTGCAAGCCATAAATCCGTGTACCGAAAACACTCACTATAAAGTGGCAGTGAGTCGTTCGAAAGACGTCGAGGTTTTCGGTCCTCCAATCAAAGACGGTGCTATTTTTCCAAAAGGCAAAGCTTTCGCTGAGTTCCTGTTAGCCAAAGTCGTCAATGCGGAAAATGCTGCTCATCGCTCGGAGAAATTCGTGACAATGGCCACTCGAACCAGACAAGAGTATTTAAAGGAGTTGGTAACGAATAGTTCGACGTCGACGCCTGTGGATACGCACCAGAAGTTTTCGATTTTTAGTAGTAAAAAGAAGGATAAGATCAGGCTGAGATTTTTAGCGGATGCTTGTCAAAGAGGGGCGATTTTGTGGCAGGTGTTGTTGGATGATTGGGGCCAATCGCAGAGAATCGAATGTTTCTTAGGAATTAGTACCGATAGTTTGGTTTTGATTGAAGAAACATCGAAACAGATTGTGTTTGTGACTCCGTGTAAATCGATTTTGGGGTGGTCGACACCGTCAAATGGGTTGAGGATCTACCACCACCAAGGGGAATGTATGACTATACACATGAGAGATGGGCAAGGAGACCGTGATGAGTTGATGGAAGTTGTGGAGAGGCTACAAGCGGTGACACAAGGAGTAATGGCTACTGAATTATCCCTAAAACGGAATATAATGGGTCAGCTTGGTTTCCATGTCCAACCTGATGGTATAGTAACTTTGGTTGAAAGCTCCGGTGAGGCTTGGCATGGAGGTCTACGTCAAAATTCACGTCTTGTTGAAATTTGCAAAGTTGCAGTTTCGACTTTGACATACGACCAAATGGTCGATCTTCTCAAAACGTCAATCGTTGTAATTTTAACTGTGATACCGCCTTTACCCGACGGATCTCCCCGTAAAGGCTGCACTTTACAAAATTGTAAATATAACGAAGGTAACTATGAAGGAGATTACGAGAATTTGGATGATGGTAAGTCGAGAAAAGCACCACAGATGCAACAAGCGGGGAACCACCGTCGGATCTACGAGAGGAGTTTCTCGCCACCGAGATCGAGTAATAGTTCTGGTTATGGTACCGGAAGTAGTTCTAAATCGTTTCATAATCCTGAAGGAACCCTCACGAGTTCCTCGAGCGGGCATTCGGGTGACGACAAGTGGTACGATGTTTTACAAGAGTTGGAAGTACCACCAGTACCACAGAAAACACCATCAAGATCGAACAACGTCTTCCCGACCCCTAAACGCACCAATCAAATACAAGTATCTCATAATCATTTTGGGCCACAACCGATACATCACAGTAAAGTACAAATCAGTCATTCTTTACCTTTACAACACGTCAACTATTCACAACCTTTGACTGCTGTTGTTCACAATAATACCGATTATGAGACCTACAAGGAAAAAAACAATGCGAAGCAGCAACGACAAGAAAGCGATTATGTGATGAGACAATTGAACGACTTCCGGTTGAATGATGGCCACTCGACTGATAGTTCCATGTATGGGTTAGGGAGCGAGGATGAGTTGTCCAATGGTAGCGGAAACGTGTCCCCAAAGAGTCGTAGGACGAAGCAATTGACAAGTAATAGTCGCAATCACAGCCCCAGATCAGTTAACGGCGAAGCGAAACTAAGACCTGGTGTTACCCCCCGTTCTTCGAATCGAAACAGCGCGAATTTATCCTCGAGTAATTTCCAAGAAGAGTTGCTGCGATTGATAAATCCAGACAGTATCGAGGCTTCAACCGAACCGAAGGAAACAACCAGGTTTGCTAAACACCCTCCAAAGGCCCCCCATAATTGCAAAACTTTCAGTTTATCAACGCACAAAACCCAGCCAGAGGTGATTCTAACCATGGCTCGACCCGCCACCGTTATTTCCAATGCTAGCACCACGTCCAGTCCTCTCCCCGCCGAATTTAAAGGTTCCAAAGACGAGCTCAATACCAAAACAAAATCGGTCGTGTCTCTCGAGGAATATCCAGTTCCGGAAGATTGGCCCACTCTTGTGGACACGGCCACTCGAGTTCTGATGCAAGTGGCTTCCGATAGTTACAAACGCGACGAAGGGAAATGGGACGAGGAAGCCCCAATCGATGCGTCGATTACCTCTTCGTAAGTCGCCCAATTACTTGATTGAATTCTTCTGAATCGGCTTGTTTTAGAGTGAGTTCCAGCACGAGTGTCCCGGAATTGCAAAACCACGTGACGGATTTAGAGTCAAGTTTAAAACGGGAGACGCGGAGGAGGCTGTCGCTGGAGAACGAAGTGAGGAGGTTGAAAGAGGAGAACAAGAAGTTGAAGGATCAAGCACAGAGTGCCGTGCAGCAATTACGCAAGTTTACAGAGTGGTTCTTCAAGAACGTCCAAAGGCAGTAAGAGTAAACTTGTAAATAAACGTTAAACTTGTAAATTTTTAATATAGTACAAAATTGTTGTATTTATTTATTGTTTGTTTTGTCGGAATTTATTTCTTTTCGGGTCAGTATTCCAAATTTTCATTGGGTTAAGGTCCACCCTCGAGTATTATAAGTTATTTTTCAGCAAGTTATTTATAAAATAGTTACCACACGAGTTATTATTTAACCTACACTCTTAATCATTATTTTACAAAAATATTTTTGTTATGTGTTTTACTTAGGACGTATTTTTTAAAGCATATTCTACTCTTTGTAATGATAAACAACTGAACACCAAATCAAATGTAATGTTAATTACTTAGTTTCTAGTGTTATGAATCATCCATTCCTGAGAGATGAGGAGTATTGTTGATGGTGACCTGCAGATTGCCTTAAATGAATGGATTTTTAAATATTTTATTTAAGTAACTTGTTATGTAACGTAAGTTTTCCATTTACTATGTCAATGTTTATTTAAAAATAAAAAATTCTTAAATTGAAACATTGCAAATCTTTAAACCTTGACACGCCCCCAATCCACCTGTTGACATATACCCATTAAAAACAAAAACGACGTAAGTGCTAAATCTTGGTGCAATTAAAATTCTTATCACGGAAAATGAATGGTTTATTAGTCAGTCACCTATTTTCCTTGCACCCATGTGGAAAAACATCGAGCTGAATTTATTTATAACTATTACCTTCAGTTGAAACCGCGCTTTCGACACGCCTAGCATGAAAAATGTCTGCTCACACTGAAAAAACAGTGAAGTGTTGTTGCTTTGCGAAAAGTCCCAAACATGTCGAGGTGGCATTGCAAAACAAAACAGAATCGTCACTCCCAACGGCGGTAAATTTGATTTTAGAAACTTTTGGTGTTGGTTTTGACCGCACTGTTGGTCGATACTCAGGTAGAAAGTGCTAAATAATACCTAATTTCTTTTGAGGACGCACTGGCAAGATAAGCTTGACATGTCATCCCAGCTGTGATAATTGCTTAGTGATTTCTCGAATTCAATTTAGTATAATGCAGATAAAAAATGACATCTCTTATTGTGTTCGACAGAAAGTGCCTTTCGCGGCCGACCTGCCGCCGGATTTATGCGCCGGAAAAGCGATTTATGTCACCGGAATCGTGTTGCCGAAATGCTCAAGGTCTGTACTTTAAAATAAATTTATTTTTGGCGAGTTTGCCGACATTATTCGCTTGTTGCCACATATTAAATTGTGTGGCCTTGGTGTCAATAAATAAATATGAGATAACAGTATACATCGCCCTAAATTACATTTTTTCACTTGTTTGAAATGTGAGAACACGTGGCGTGCGACCGGTTTTGATTGGGCCCTGGAGTCATTAAATAGTAGATAAAAAAACACCAAAGAGGTGTTAACACCAGTCTCCCACTTTCACCACCGAAAATTGATTGGTGTAGCTATGACGTTCACTACGATTGGTTATGATGATGACAGTTTTTTGTTTTCAACACAATGGCGAATTTTATGTTAATTGCGGTACAGGTATGAACAATACAATAGTAGGATGTAAAAAACATCTAATAAAGTACTGAGTTTATTTTTTTCTTCGTTACAACAGAAACAATGGAACATTTTAAACAAAAGCGATATCTGCAAGTTTTATTATTAATCTCCCTCGTGTAATTTCCGGTTTAATTTAACTTTTGTGAGTGTTTTATTTAAGTAAATTTACCGCTGAAGCAGTGGGCGGATTTTGTATTATAAAAACGCTTCTTATTCGATACCTACTAAAAATACATTTCGGAAATGATTGATTCAATGCGAAATTTGTAGTGTATGTAGGCAACCAACAATACACGTTCATTATTCGACTTCATTTCTTTTTTCTTTTTCTACTTGTATTAATCTATTTATGTTGTGGGGTGGGTAGTATAATAAAAATATAAATGTTGATTTTAATTTTTGAAAGAGCAATGACTGAAACCAGTTAATGTTTTATTTATGGGTAGCACAATTATCGTAGCATATCAAAAAAAAAAAATTAACATTATTAAATTAGCGGCGATAAAATTTTTAGCTACAAAATTAATAACCACTTTTTATAAATTGTGTAAACATTTACATTCAAACAAATTGTTTTACATGGACACAAAAAACATTTTTTCTTTGTAAATAAATAATTTAAAAAATGGAAGAAAAACTTTTGCCTAGGCATAGGCAGCTTAAATATATTTATTTTTGTTTTTTTATTTAATCAATTTATTATTTTTAAATTTAAACATAGCCGGGGGACTGTAATTGTTTGGGAGAAACATATTGGAAATATTGGTAACGCTTGTTAAATTTTTGTGAATTTTTTATGAATTATATGCTACGAGATCCATTTCGATTTATTGTAAGTTATGTTAGGTGACTGAGGTAAATCCTTTTATCTATTAAATTTTTTCGATTAGTCGTCTAAAAATCGTCCAATCTCAAGTTGACAGATGCCTGACAGCAAGTTATGTAACCATGGTCATTCGTTACCGTGGATATCGCTCATTCAAAATTCATACTTTTTGCTTTCAGCGTTGTGCAGTCCTCAGTTTAAATTAAGATATCTTTAAAACGGTCAATTTTAGGGTTATTAAAGGTTATGCTTTTATTCAAAATTGGTTACTCTATTGTTTTGAGTAATAAAAAATTAATGTTAAGAGGCCAAGAAAACGAAAAAACACAGAAAATATGACCTGCAACTGTTGGAACAGGAAATTGAAAAGATGTATCTGGTTTTCGTGATTACTAGTTTAAAAAGTATGTTCTCGTAAGTAACTATTCCAAATTTTATAATATTTGGTGAAATGGTTCCGAAGTTATTACAAAAAAAAAACAAATTTCCATTTCCACATTTCGAGAGCTGTAAAATTTTTATCAGTAGAGATAGGACACGAATTATTATTTGAATCATTTTATAGGTCATTTTTGAGGTTTAAATATTGCTTCATATTAATGAATAACCCTGTATAAACAAGTTTTGTGTTACGCGTTTTAATATAGTATGTGCAAATCTTATATTTTTAAAACGGTTTCTATTCGATATAAAAATAAATTTTGGTAATGAATAAATAATTGTGAATTTTGATTGATCCATTCAGTGTAGGCAACCAACAATACATATAATATATTTTCCATGTTTTGTTCTCTTCTTTTTTATTTAGGTATTACGTAGTGATAAAAATTTAGTTTTTTTTTGTTTTTCTATGTATTGGTAATTTTACTGTTGAAAAAGCACTTAATATTTTTTATAATTTTTTATAATTAATATTAACTCTAACTTTTCTGCAAAATTATTGTAGTAGAACACCAAATTTTTCTCTAAAAATGTGTTTTAATGAGTTAATGTCTGAAATAGTGATTGCACGTAAGAAAATAAATAGTTATGATTGAATTTAGTTTTAACTAAAAGAAAAGATTTTCAAGGTTTTCAATTATACAGGCTGATTTTGAGGTATGTGCAAATATTTTAACAATAGAGTTCAAAAGAAGTCAAAACAACTTAACTTGCCTAATCCGGATGTTTATAGTTTTTTGAGATACAGAAGGTTTAGTTCGTCGAATAAAACAAAATAAAACAAATATGACCTCTAAAGTTAGATCTTCAAAATCTATTTAAAAAAAAAGTTACAATTAGCAAAAAACAGGCACAGAAAAATTTTGAAACAAATTTTTTTTGTTGAAGATATCACCCAATTTCATTACCTTAAATGTTTCCGATTAGGTACTATAGCAGTGTAAACTTTGGGATACAGTACTCAAAAGGTTCATAATTAGTTTACGTTGCATTATTTTGATAATTTTTTCAACGCCAATGTGGAGGTTTCACCCTCTATATCTCAGAAACTATAAACATTCGGATAAGGCAAGTTGAGTTATTTTGACTTCTTTTGAGCTCTACTACCGCCGGTTAAAATATTTGCACATACCTCAAAATTACTCTGTATAACTAAATACAATTTGTTTGGGTTCTAATACTTCGTCTCTGTTCAATCCACTAGACGAGCTAATCGAGTGAATATTTTTTTCGTTCTGGGCGTATATAATATTAATTAAAAAAGTTAAAATCGATATTGCATCTGGTGTGGTTGTCTCGTCATTCCACGGCCCATTGACATAACGTGACAAATGGCCGTTGATGGATGCCGACTGGGCTATTGCAGGCTGTTTCCTTTACAATTAATTACTTGGAACTGATTTATGGAGTCTTGTGGTGGCGGTGATGGTCGTTTTTCCGCCGTTTCTCAAAAAACGAAAGAACCGTCGCAATAAAAACGGCTTAATCTAATGACGTATCGTTTCCTTTTTGCAGATTTGCGGTGAATTTAACATGCGGCAAAAGTCCAACGGCGGACGTGGCATTCCATTTGAATCCGCGCCTCCTCCAACACTACATCGTGCGAAACACTAGACTAAACGGCCAATGGGGAGACGAAGAAAAAACCTCCACGGTGAAATTCCCCTTTCGCCGAGAAGGAAAATTCAACGTTTGCATTCTTATCGGCAACGGGGAGTACCTAGTAGCGGTGGAGGGAGTGTTTTTTTGCAGTTACAAGTTCCGGGTGGCTTTGCCCAAAGTCACCGGAATTGACATACAGGTGATTCTCACAAGGTGGTTTTCTCGTGGATTATTAATGTGTGTAGGGCTGTGTCGATGTTCTGGGAGTCGACTACAAGCAACTGCAAATTTATCCGGAAATCAGCCCTGGAACCGTGCCTAAAGTCACCGTGGGACATCGAGAGGCCGATGCTCTCAAAGTCGGAATGGTAATAGGAGTTGCGGGAAATGTTTTTAATTGCTTGGGGTTGACTTGGAGGGGAATTTTCTCGGGCATTCTTAACACACTTTACTGTATTTATCTAACTCCCCACATGCAGGCAGCACTAATTGCCAATTACATCCCTCACTGGCGATCAATACGACAAAAACACGAGCTATTTCTTTATACTGGGGTTTCAAAAGACAAATATTGTTATAAAGGTCTCCTCTTCTTTCTTAGAAGCAATATCTAAAGAAAGAAGTTGATAAACATCAATTTTTTATTCATTACAGAGAAGAAAATAAAAAATTGAATAGAAAATTGCAATTAAAATTGAACAATTAGTATTTTTCTTTTTTTGGTAGCATCCGGTAGTGGGAGAGTTTGCAGTTTGAGCAAAACTTTAATACAATTTTTTAATAAAAAAAGTTTGGAAGTTTGTGGAGGAATAACTTGTTTTAAGAGTTGATGTACTTTGTGGAGCATCTAAATAGCAACAGCTTAGTTTTAATAATAAGGGGGCCTTTATCTTCGATTTTTCAATATTTGTCTTGGCGTTTTCTCGATCATGTTGCTGTAAAAACAGTGGGAGATAATTAAATTTTACATGATTTTTCAGGTGATGTTTTTATGTGCTTTTCAGGATACTCCGGTTACGTTTTTATTGCCTGGAGGTTTTCAGCGAGACTGGCAATTAGAGATTTACGGCCGGGTAAAAATTCTACCCCATTCG